GTATTAATTATTCAAACCCATCCTATTTATGCATATTTTGCCCCTATTGTATGTGCTCAAATAATTTAATATATATGTACTAATTTTATCGGTAATAGTGATGCTTCTATTTTATATTAATATAGTTATTTCTCAACTCTTATTATTCTCTATTGTTTTACACACATTCATCTTAATATTCTCACTTCTATCACACTCAATTTAATTATTAATGATATTTTGATGCCTAATGGGCCAATACTCATATCCATATACACAATTGTTTTAATTATAGTTTTCTAAAATTTACCTCACATGGGCCTTTGATGACCCGGTTAGGAGAGTAGAGGTATTATATTTGACTTATGTTAAGAAAGGTAGGGGTAGACCTAAAAAGACTTGGTTACAAAATATTAGGAATGACCTTTCTTTATTAGATTTAAACGAGAATTTGACTTTTAATAGGACACAATGGAGAAAAATGATTCATGTAGCCGACCCCACATAGTGGGATAAATGCTTGATGTTGTTGTTGTTGTATGGGCCCTTGAATTCAACTCTAAAACTTATACCTTGATTTATTCCAATCATTTTTCTATAATAAATTCAAGTTATTTATTGATATGAAATATTGTTAGATAATTGCCAATTTTACATCATGTGAAATTACACATTTGTTCACAATTCCTAAGCGCCGAGTGTTTTCTCACTTAAAAGCAATGTTATGCACTTACTTGCTCAATCACACATCATATACTAAAGCCTAAGGTATTAATACAACATCATTTGCAAATAACTTACCCTAAGGTACCAAATTTTGAATGTTGAGTAGAGACTAAGTATTTATCTTTGATGTGGGGTGAATGTGGTAAAATTTCTTTGGTAACTCAACAACTAATTGTAGTGCTAATCATTGCTCTATCAAATATATTGCCAATAGATTTACTATATTTTTGAGACATGTATTTTCTCTTTAATGCCTACATACTCATTTATTGTGATTTTTTTTTTGCTTGTCGCTATGGTTAGAATTTATAGTAATATCCTTGTTTTACTCTTTCTATATTTTTCTAAATTGGTCATAATTCCTAACCCGAACTCGGCCCGTATACGTTGCTGGGTTGACTCGACGCAGCCTCTACTACAATCATTTCTTAATCCATCTTTCTTAATTTTTATATACATGTATAACTAGGTGATTCTCCAATGATTATATGATTTATTGAATCCTATGTTTTGCTACCATCTCTTATAAGTTATAAAACATGATATGACTCCTAAATTTGATTCAACTATAAACACCAATCATATAAATTTTCTTTGTTCTTGAATAAAATATTTTACATCGAATCATTTGATTTCTTTTTTGTTTTTTATATTTTATTGAAAAGATTTGTTAATCAATTTGCTCAAATATAACAATTAGATCTACCAATTTTGATAGAAATTGTGGTTAAAGCTAATGCTTTACTTTCATGCATTGTTGTTTAAGATTTCACAACTTTACTTATGCTTCTTATCTGGCATTTAAATTTTTTTATTAATATATATATGAAGCAAGGACTCTTAAAAAGCCGTATGGTATGTGTCGGATATGTACATGCCTTGACAATTATTTTACATGTTGAAATTCATGTATATATATCTGCACATATATATATATACAAGGCCCCATGATCCTTCAACACTTATTATATGTCACAGTAAATTTTTTCTTATTTTATTATCTAAATCATGTTTCATTATCTTAATTTTTTTGTACATTCTTGCGCCACTTCAAATTCTCTTATATTTAATCTTTTTTTTACGTCTCAAAGAACTTTTGTGACATTCTTCTTAAGTTAACTAGGCATTTTATGGCACAACCAATCTGTTTAATTTAGAAATGCCTATTTTGGGGTAATTTTAAAAAGGAGTATCTTAATTATCACAATTAGCAAAAAGAGCAGGTTTATTTAAAAATTTAAGAATAAGCTAATTCGTCAACTATTTTGGCGTATTGTAGACAGAGAGAGAAATGAAAGTTCAGGTTGAGAGAGAGAGAGGAATATGGAGTTGTGGAAAGAGACAATAGAGAGAGAAAAAGTCAGAAAGAGAAAGGGAAAAAAGAAAAAAAGTTGAGAGAGAATAATGTTTTATGCTGCTGCCTCTTTTCTCTACAAATTTTATATATTATTTTTAATTAATAAATAATGATTTATATGTTAATCATTTTTTTACTAAAATTTTTCTGATTAAACATGTAAAAATCATTTTTTTACTAAAATTTTACTAAAATTAGAACGTGATTAAATTTAATTAAGTTTTAAATTTAAATAAAGTTATTAAATTTAATTAAGTTATAAATTTTAACATAATTAAATTAAATTTAAAATATAATGTAATTACATTAAATTAAGTTATACATTTAAATAAAATTATTAAAGTTATGATGTAATTAAATTAAACTAAGTTATAAATAAAGTTATTAAATTTAAATAAATTTATAAATTAATGACTTATAACTTAATTTAATTAAAATTTATAACTTAAAATTATAATATAATTAAATTAAATTAAGATTTTTATATGTTTAATTAGAAAAATTTTAGTAAAAAATGATTAACATATAAATTATTATTTATTAATTAAAAATAATATATAAAATTTGTAGAGGAGATAGGAAGCAGCATAAAGCATTATTCTCTCTCAACTTTTTTCTTTCTTTTTCTGACATTTTTCTCTCTATTATCTCTCTCCACAACTCCATATTTCTCTCTCCCTCTCCACCTAAACTTCCATTTCTCTCTCTGTTTACAATACGTCAAAATAATTGGCGAATTAGCTCATTCTTAAATTTTTAAATAAACCTGCTCCTTTTATTAATTGTGATAATTAAGATACTCCTTTTTAAAAATTACCCGCCTATTTTTTCCTCTTATCACTTTTGAAATTAACTTTCCATGTTATAAGACTTACAAACAAATCACATGAAACTTATTTCTTTTTATATATTTCTATTCTATAATATATAATCATGACCATTGTTTATATTTTGTGGTCAAACTTTTCGTTGAATCTCTTTAATGTGAGTAAAAAGTGTTTTTTAATTCTAAATTATTAAAAGTTTATTTGCAATTTTGTTGTTCCACTTTGAAGTGATCAAGGTCTCTTCTCACTCATAAATTATTTAATTAATTTTATAAGATTATTTACTATTGTAAAATAAAATATATTTTCTTTCATCAAATTTCTGCTCTTATTCCATGGTTATTTTATATTCCCGTACAACTCATCCTACCATAACCCTTATGTCCATTTAAGTCAATGCCAATTCATGTGGTAGTAATTAATGCATCTCTTTTCAAAACTAAATTTTGAAAAATTCTTGATTCAACTAGAGCTAATTGCTAACCTTATTTATTATATCCTCAACAAAGATTAACTTAATAGCAATCTCCTTATCATTAGTACCGTCACTTCAATAATTTAGCTTTCTTACATGTACTTAGACTTATCTAAAGGATTCTAAGCCTTAGATTTTTTACCCTTTCCTTTTAGGTTCTTGCAAACATGTACATCAATTTTTTTCTAATAATTATTTTCTTGACCATCTAATTCAGATTTCCTAAAATTCATTTAACAGATTTTATCTTACTTTTCGATCAGCCAACCTTTTATCACATATTACAAATGGAATAAATTTTGGTATGTCATTAGGGATGATGTCCCAAACAAAGCCTAAATAAACAACAAAGCAGACCCCATAGCTGGTGATAGTAGCAGAACGCTAGAATTGAGTCAAGTTATAATGCTACTTATAGTTGGTTTTCTAGTTAATTGCCTACTGTTTTTTCACAACCATGTATGGTAATGGTTTGCCGTTTTGTGATGAACTCCGTAGCATTAACTACATGGATTTTGTATTCATTTTGTGGAATTTAGGACAGTATTATGATTGGTTATAAATCTAACATCAATCCTCAGCCTTTTTCTTTGAGGATATACGTTGTCTATTGCACAAATACTGTTCATAACTGGTGATCTGAAACAATGCAGAAACTAAAATTTTAGGCTGGGAGAAAATATAATTAAATAAAGAGTTCTATGAAATTGTGAAAGATACTAAATGCATTTAGTAAATCTTGATTTTGTTAATCTTTAGAGTATACCTATTAAGTATAATAAGAAATTTTAACCTGATTCACATGTACCACGACATGATCTGGTTGATTTTGTTTCAGTGATTTCGGCTGATAAATTGAGTTCCTAATGCATAATTTGTGGCCCCTAGCTTAAGGTTTTGTGTTGATGGATGTCCTCAACTTGTGTATTTGCATCTACTTTGGTCCTCCATATTCCACCCTCTTAGTTGGTGGAGTATCCCAAGTTGATGATTTGACTATTATTAAGTATGTTTGTTATGACCCTCGTAGATTTGGGCATATTCTATCATGTTTGAGCAAAAGTGAAGAGTGGATGAGTCTTATGGGCTCTTGGTGCTCGAGTCACATGACATTTGATGGTATTAAAAAGCCTACATTGAAGAGGAAGGGATTATTGATATGAAAAAATCTCATACAAGAGGGACGAGAGGTAAATTGTTAAGATTCGCATGAGAGTGAAGAATACTCTTGCAACAAAACTAATATAAAGGAGGTGGATCTTAGCTTTTTGCTTAAGATTTTGTGATGTTGTTTATCCATCTATTAGTATTGAGCTCAACTTAGTTCTCTAGCATTCTTGTTGCTGTGATGTGCTGATATGCTGTTTACACTTTTGCTGATTTCTATTGGAGCTACTACATGAGATATCTAGATGTCACTGCTTCTGTTTTGTTATTGAAAATGATCCAATGATAAAAAATTGTTCTTGGTAATGATTTAAGCATTGTGAATCATAACTTGTTTTTACAGTAGGGTAAGTTTTTTTTTTTGGGCTCAAACCTTAATAGCATTTTATTTCTTACAAGCGTCCACTTCTTTACTTTCTGTTTCTTTTATTTCGTGTTATTTATAGTCATTTATACTACAATATTGTAGGAACCTGATCTTCTACTTCTTGATGAGCCAACTAATCACCTTGATCTTGACACCATCGAATGGTTGGAAGGTTATCTAAATAAGCAAGAGATTCCTATGGTTATCATATCTCATGACAGAGCTTTCCTTGATCTACTATGCACAAAGATTGTGGAAACGGATATGGGAATATCCAGGACTTTTGTAGGGAACTATTCTGAGTACTTGATATCAAAAGCAACATGGATAGAAACACAATATGCATCTTGGGAAAAACAACAGAAGGAGATTGAACACACGAAGGATTTAATTGGTAGATTGGGAAGTGGAGCTAATTCTGGACGTGCTTCCAGTGAAGAGAAGGTATGATTAAAAAAACTCTCATTATTCATTGTAGCATATTAAACGCGATGATTGTTTGGACTAAGTGGGACATTATACGGTGCCAAGCATCTTAGAAATGTGTTTATTTTGAACAATTTGGTAGTTAATCACCTTGTTTCCCTTTAAAAAATACGGCATAAATGTCCAGAAAGATTCTACTCGGGTTCTTACATTTACAAACAAAGCATAGCCCATTTATTGCATTGAAATTATGTATTTAATGTCATTGAAAGTAGGTTATATTTAGTTTACATAAGATCTTATAACAGGTTACTTAATAAAAGTAACCCCTTTTGAGCCTCACCGACACATAAATGGGTGGGGACTCGAGAGTAGTTTTTCATGATTTAGATTATGGTTTATTTTGATCTCAGGTTAAAACTTTCTATGGACTCTAGCCCCATAGCTAATTACGCTTCTTACTCATGGGAGAGCCATATTGATTAAGGAGGTTGTTTAGGCTTTTTTTAATTTCTTAGATTTGAAATTTATATGTGAATTTAATTGAGTGGAGAATGATTAGGGTGATGAAGGAAGACCCAATCAATATATTATGGTTCTGTCATCTTGGTATACTAGTGGATCTTAGCTACCAACTTTAGAGGGCTTTGAGTTGTAACATCCAAGGATATTGATTAACAACAGTTGGATGCGTCATCTTAGGGTGAAAATATGTTTTTTATCAAAGATGTGCTTTCAAGATTGATGTCAACTCATTTATTGTCATAGAGCTTGATGTACCAATTTCACTGATTAGTTTAAAGACACATAGCATGATCTCTTGGAGTTTAGCGATGCTAGACATGATCAAAAGTAGAGATATGACAATGCCATCAATTATTCACCAGTTTCAATTTGACTTGAAGGAGTCTGTTTAATACACTTGAGATTTTTCATTCGTGTTGTTTTAATTAATGGATTTTCTTTTTGGTTGGTGAACTTGTTAGCATAAGTGCTAAATTTAATTTAGAGTGGGTTTGGGCATACCTCTATTGGCAGGCTTAAATTAATTTTGATTTGCTAGGTTTGTTGGTTTTGCTTTGACCCAATTTAATAGGGTTGGATTTTACATCATTGGATGGCTTAGATTAGTTGCAATGTGACTTATAATTATTAAAAGGTCAAGTTTTGACTTAACAAATTTATTGTCTTTTTGTCAAGTCAAATTAGCTGGATTGAGGCTTACATCTATTAGAAGACTTTTTTTTTTTGTAAAAAAAGATGGCCTGTTGTTTATCTCCTAATTTTTGACTTGTGTATGATGTTTGGGATCAATTAAAGTTGAAGTCTTAGGCTCACACACTATATTTATGAGATGCCAAGAAGGTTAGAACTTATAAGTATTTTTAAAATTGAATCGGACCGTCCGGTTCGACTGTGAACCGGTTCAGTTGCCGGTTCGGAGAAATTGAAAAAACAGATTTGTATTGAATCGGTTTGAATCGCTTGTTCAACCGGTAAACCGTCGAACCGGCCGATCCAATAAATAATATTTTTATTTAAATATATTTTAAGATTAAATTTTATTTAATTAATTTTAAATATATTTTTAAAATCATATGCTTATGTAAATAAATTTAATCCGAATATAAAGCTACTAGCTTGCCACATCATGAAACTTTATTTTTTGTTTGTGGTTTGTGCCTTACACTATATAAAGAGAACAACTTGAAATTCCCTTGTGATGTGGGACTAAAAATCTATGAGAATTTTGCATGAGCTTAAACTATCAAATTGCTTGGGATACAAATTTGGGTTGAAAATGCATATAATTTATCAAGGTTACAAACATATATATTTTTTTATATATTATAAAATTTATATATTATATTACTATTTTTATTAAAATTTATATTTATATTTATACAATTATATTATTAAAAAATTTCAAGTTTAAGACCTATTTATTATGCTTATAATGATAAATTATGTATTCTTTATTAAAATTTTAATTATTACATAATTTATATTATATTTAAATAATTTTAGTATTTATTACATCATCCGGTTCGACCATCGATTCGTGAATATCTCCTTCTTCCGATTCGTTGTTCGGTCTGATTTTCACAATTTTGGAATTTATTGTCCTAACTTTTTGAATGCATGTATCCCACTATGTGGAGTCGGCTATATTAGTCATTTTTCTCCATTGTGCCATATTAAGAGTTAAATTCTCATTTAAATATATGTCATTTTTAATACTTTCTAACTAAGTATTTTTAGATTCATCTCTACCTTTCTTAACAAAGGTTGAATCTAATGCATCTACTCTCCTAATAGGATTATTGGAAAGCCGACGTTTTATGTGACCTATAAAGGTGGGACTCACAAACTTATCATGTAGTTTTTTTATTTAATAAACATATTGAGATGGTTTAGCAGGACTCTAAAATTGATTAGGTGTCAGTAACATCAAACATAGGTCATTGGCCTATATGTTTGATCAATTAGGTTGATGCTATAAGCATTCAAATTGAGGTATCTTGCAATTTAACACCATTCTTAGGACCTCATAAATTTTTTTTTTTTTTTTTAAATTTTGGGTTGTCTAGGATTTGTTGAAAGCCTTGGCTTTAGTTTGGGATTGTAAGGAACTTTTGAGTACATTTGAATGCTTTTTGATGCATTAGCACTTTTTTAATATATAAATATTGATGATTTTGAGTCATTTATGGCCACATATATTAGCTTTATAATTAATTTTTGGTATTTAAACGTATCTTGATTGATTTAATATTTTCCCATCTTTTTGATGGGTTGTCCCTCTTTTTCATGTATTAGCATATTTTTGATGCAATGTAAGGAATGGGGTGCTCCTTGTATCTTCTAAAGGTTTCAATTTATCTATCAAATAGCTAAAACTTATTTTCATTTTTTTTTTGTTCACGAGGCTTTAAAAAGTGGCATTATTGTATTTTTGTTATTTAAAGCAACCATATTTTGTAATCTTCCTTTGGTTGAATGTCAGTAGTGGTTGCGGGTTCCAAAGCTTTGTGCTTTTATGAGTTATAAAATGTTGCTATTTAGTGGTCTTAATAAGTGGTTGTTTGTATGCAAGTATTAGTAGAGTAAACCAAATATAGGGCATTTAAATTTTTAATGTTTGGTTGGGAGAAAAATAAATGCAAAATAATTTTTTGAGGTATTTGAAATTCCATACATCATTGTCATTGTATTTAAAATTCGCCCAATTTGGGAAAACATTGTGTATTGACTAATTTCAAATATTTGCCTGAAGAAACTTGATCTCAAGTAGCAATTTTGCATGTAGAAGAACTTGAAATTTTACTTTGATATAAATTAGATGTAGAACAACTATGAATGTACTATAAGAAAAATAAAGATGTTTATAACTGAAAGGAAAGATTAGGAAAAGGAAATATGAGTGGATCGGAAAACTTTCACTCGAAGAAAAAGCTTAGTTGTCCTAAAATATTGTCTTGTTGTAGGATCAAAATTCCGGACGTGATAAAGAAGTGGGATCTTCATGTTGATAAGAATTTTTTTTTTAATTAAAAGAAACATTTTTTTTCTTAAAAATCTCATTTATAGATGGACATTGGTGATATCAAAGATATGGAAGAAATGAAAACTTGCTGAAAAATGTATTGACATTGACTGAAATATTATGAGGCCCGAAATATGTCAAATGGTTTAGATAGCCAAGTAATTGGCGAAATGACTTCTGAAAATTAAGAAATAAACTTAAACAAAATCAGTACATGGATTGTCTAGACTTCAAGTCCGCTTGATGCCATAAGCTGCCGTATCAAGCTTCTGTTAAACTTGACTTTTTGGACGGAGGTAGGAGAGTCCAATACTACTTTTAACTTGAACATCTATGATTTTCTTTTACTCCATCCGCTTACTATAATTTCAATTCGTTTGATGAATGACTTTTTGTCTGACATAGGTCTTAAACCTTTTGCTTGGAGCAGTCATAGATAGGTTTTATTTGTTTATATACCATGTGTTTATGCAAGTTTATTCGTTTTTTCTTGTGTAAAGTGTTCCATATCCTATAATGTTATAACCTGCTCTTCTAATGACTTTCAAAGTCCCATGTTTGCATGTTGAAGTTTCATAGTTGCTTTGACGCTTCAAATTGTTATTCAAGTGAATGTAACAAAAAATTGCTATATGCACTAGTTTTTCCTTTCTCTTGCGCATTAATCAATAATTCCTTGATGTTGTTAGTGAAGATAATGGAGGTTGAATACTGCTTCGGTTAAAAATGCAAACTGCATTGTCTTTGCTCCTAGCTCATCTGAAAATATTTTAATTGATATGCCTTGTTATGCTTTGCATCTTGTTACTTTAGTTCTTTTGCTTGTCATCAAAATTATATCTCTGTGGTTCTTAACGTTTTCCTTGATTTCATATGTTAACAGAAGTTGGTGAAACTTCAAGATGATGGGCTAATTGAGAAACCTTTTCAGAGGAAACAATTAAAAATTAGATTTCCTGAGAGGGGGAGGAGTGGAAGGACAGTCTTGACGATAACAAATCTTGATTTTGGCTTTGGAGATGAGGTTAACTCATTTACTGGTGCATTTTTTTTGGTTATTTGTTCACCTGTAATATTTGTCAAAGAATACTCATGTTTTTCATGATTTGTCTTAATGGATTACTAAACATTCCTACACATAATTTTGTTAACTTGACTTGGTGCCTTCTCCTGTTCTTCTAACAGATGCTGTTTAAAAAGGCAAATCTTATAGTTGAGAGAGGTGAAAAAATAGCAATTATTGGTCCAAATGGATGTGGAAAGAGTACCTTACTCAAACTAATGATGGGACATGAGAAGCCCAAAGGAGGTGAAGTTTTGCTTGGAGAGCACAATGTTTTGCCAAACTATTTTGAGCAGAACCAGGTATATATTTTATGTAGTTTAAGAATTTGGGTTATTCAGTAATTATATTTTATATAGAGTATCTAAAATTGTCTAGAAATTTGACCAAATAATGCATTAGAAATTCTATCATACCTAAATTTTGCATTTGCTAACTTATTTAAAATATGAATTTTTGTTATTTAGTATTATACTATTTCCTCAATATTGAGGATATTCTTCTTAATCAATCCCCTCTCTAGCCATTATATTGGCAAATATATGGATGCTCTATGACAACAATTCAGCAAAGGTGTAATCATTTGCAATTCTCGCCCTTATAACTTTGTATGAGAACCTATTAATCTATCTATATCTTGGTTTTGCCTTTTGATCAATTTTCTGATCTCCCTGCTCGACAAGACTTGTTAATGTCCTACCTAACGATAAACCGCAAATGCTTCCTTGCCACACTTCTATTTTTACGCTACTTTTCACATGCCATGATCCTCCCAATGCATTAAATCTCAAGCAAATGGATCCCTAAATGAGGCGTCTCTGTTGAGGGATAACAAGAACTTTGCAGGTGCATCTCCTGGCTTCTGGTAGTCAAGGGCTATATAGCCTAGCATATGTTATCATCTTCTTCTATCATGATATTTTTTATTAATTCCTACCTAGTATCATTTGCATTTTTCTATTGATCTACATTCCATTAGTCCCAAAGGATTCATGTCATGATTATTCGACAAGTTTTATGCTGGCTGTCGACTACCTAACGCTACCCTCCACTTTTCTCATTCATCACTTTAGATCTGACAACAACAATGTTAAGGATGAAAATAAAAAAAAACTTTTATTAGAAGTGGATATTCAACAAAGATTATGAGAATACGATCGACTTCAATGACCTTAGCACCCAAAATGAAAATAATTTCTTTTGTTTTTATTAGCATATTAGTAAAATTGAAGTTAGAGAGGTTTTAAAGAAAATGAAGTGTGGAAAAGCTGTTGGACCCAATGATATTCCAATAGAGGTGTGGGAAATGAAGGAATTTCTTGGCTTACAAAACTTTTCAATATTTTTTTAAAAATTAAAAAAATGCCAGATAAGTGGAGTGTATTGATCTTATCTTTAAGAATAAAGTTGATGCCCAAGAGTTTGTGAATTATAAAGGAATTAAGTTAATGTATCATAATTTAAAATTATGGGAGAGAATTATTGAGCATATGTTATGATGTGGTACTAATATTTCTCAAAATCAATTTAGGTTCATGCCGGGTAGGTCTACTATGGAAGCTATACATTTATTAAGAAGTTTGATGGAGAAGTATTGAGAGAATAAGAATGATCTACATATGATATTTATTGTTTTGGAGAAAGCTTATGATAAAGTTCCAAGAGAAGTGTTTTAGAAAAGAAAGGGGTTAATAATGCTTATACTCAAGTCTTCAAGGATATGTATGCAGGAGCTGTTACTTTTGTTCAAACACAAGGTGGTTTGACCAAATATTTTCCTATTTTAGTTGGATTGCATCAAGAATCAGTTTTAAGCCCATATCTTTTTGCTCTAGACATGGATGTTCTTTTAGATATTTGCAAGAGAATGTACCTTGGTGTATGCTTTTTGCTGGTGATATTCTTCTTGTTGATAAGACAAGAGAGGGAGTTGAAGGTAAACTTGAATTATGGAGGTCAACCTTAGAGTCTAAAGATTTTCTTTTGAGTAGATCTAAAACCGAATACATGGAGTGTAATTTTAGAAGTAATAGGTTTAGTGGGGGGATTGTAACATGGAGTATAAGTCATTAATAAGAGTCCACGTTTTAGATATCTCGGGTCTATTGTCCAGAGTGATAGTGAAATATATGAGGATATTATTAGTAGAATTCAAGTTAATTGTTGCATAGATGAGGTTGCTTAGGTGGATGAGTGACTTTACTATTAGAGATTGAATGTGAAATGAGCATATAAATGAAACGGTTGGAGTAGCTCTAGTGGCAGATAAGATTAAAGAGAGCCGTCTTAGATGATTTGGTCACATAAAATGTCAGTCTTCCGATGACCCGGCTAGGAGAGTGGATGTATTAGATTTGACTTATGTTAAGAAAGGTAGAGGTAGAATTAAAAAAACTTTGTTATAAAAAATTGGAAATGACTTTTTTTATTAGATTTAAAGGAAAATTTGACTCTTAACAGGACAATGGAGAAAAAGGATTCATGTAACTGATGCCACATAGTGGGATAAAAGCTTGATGTTGTTGTTGTTATTGTTGTTGTTGTTGTATTGACATCCCAAGGTCCTACTGCAGATAATGCACATCTTAGTTCTCTTTGTTGATGCATCTTTGACATCATCTGTGCCCATTGTTTTGATTGTTGATTATGTTTATTGCAGTCAACCTCTACCTCAATGTCCATCCCTTGAACAATTCCCCTATGATGTCCTCTCTTCTTAAACGATGATTGTGCTGGTTACTTTTTTTCCTCATTACGTCTATGCTCTATAATAATACCCTTTATCAACGCTCTTTGACTATTTACATCACTTTCTTTTAATTCTCTCTATTAATACCTCTGCTTATGGATGATATTCATGACTCCGTTGACATAAATATCATTTTTGACTCTTCACATCCAATTCACACTATTCTCTAATTGACAAATCAATCATGCTCCTCTTTTGGTGCTTGTAATATTTGGGCAGCAAAATCTTTGATTACTTATCCTTGATCACTTGTTTTGAAACTCAAGTTGATATCTTTTATGTTACCTTATGCTTGCGGGGAAGTATTATCTTATCTAAATTATCATATGTGCTAACTTATTTATAGTAGAAATCTGCACCATCTATTGTTATAATACTTCCTTATATTAATCACAGGCTCATTTATTATATTTTCCTTAATTATTCTCTTTTTTTTTCACTTTATAAACACATATATGCTTGTATTAAAATGACGATTAAACAAAATTGTAGTCCCTTATAGTTCTCTCTCTATGAACAGAAGATAAAAATAATAAGATCTTAGTTAAAGTTGTAGATGTCAAGGAAATATATTAGTACTATTTTGTGAAATCATTAAATTAGATTTTAAAGAAAATTTAGTGAACAAGATAATGAGATGTATTGTAGATTGATTTTAAAACTTTTAGTTAGCTTTGGAAGATGCTAAAAAGTGAAACCTTGATTCCAAGTGAGATAACTATTAAAATTTGGAGAGATGTGAGTGATTTTGTAGTGGCTTGATTACAAAATCTTTTAAATGGGATTTTGAAGATTTATTAGGCTGACAAATGATTGTAGATGATGGCGTCAAATGATTGAAGAAGAGGCTTAATAATATTAGTATTTAAGAATAAAAATGATCTTCAAAATTATGATAATTTTAGAGGAATTAGATTTGAGTCATACCATAAAGTTGTAGGTGAGGAAAAAAGACCAAAGAAAATTTACATATATGCCAAAGAATCATTCATGCTAAAAGGATCGCCTAATGAAAGTAATTTTTGAGTTATGGTAAGGAATGAAAAAAAAATGATCTTATCATTTTTATTAATCTTGAGAAGGCATATATGTTCAAGTGTCATGATGATTTTATGTGCATCAAAGAAAAGGAGTATCAAATTCTTAAGTTATTATATAATTTTGACTAGCATTAGAACTGGTTGTATTTGATTGGTTTGTAGTTATAGTAGGTAGGGCTATACAAAGTTTCAACATTATAATCATATTTTTGTTATTGGTTATTAAAATACTTACAAAGGATATTTAAAATAAGCTGCATTTGTGATGTTTTTCATAGATGAACATCCTAGTTGTTGAGAAAACGTTTGAAATAAGTGGGAAGTTGGACCGATAGAGAGAATGCTTAAAAAGATAAAGGCCTTTGGAGTAGTTGAGTTATATACTACGTAATTTTAGTGGATAATATCAAAGGATCGTGGGACTTAGAAGTCAACCAATCTTGATATGGTTCATTGAGTATAATACAGATTAAGGGTCCTAATTGTTTGGCCATTCCTCTTATGGGCCACATTGTAATTTGTGGGCCTCTTCTTATTCTAGTTGCTGACCCCTTTTGGGGGTTTTTTTCCTTCTTTTATAAATAACATCAATTTATTTATTTTGTAAGCCCTTGGGAGAAGTATATAAATACTTTCACACTTTGTACAAAATCAAACAATAACAATTTTAAGTAATTTTTTCTGCTTTTTTTACTTTTCTTCATTGTATCATTGGATTAGAGTGATGTTTAGGATTTTCATCTTTCTATCTTTCTTTTTTCTCTTTTTCGCTACATCTGCGCCCATGTTTAGTGTTAAATATGCAAGAGTTCTCACATCTGGACGGATGTAGCAAAGAAGTTAGTCCATGAAACTAAATTTAGGATAAGAACTTGGAATATAGGTTCGCTTATATACAAATTATTGGAATTAATAGTTATTATGATCCATAGGAAGATAAATATTCATTGCATTCAGGAAACTAAATGGGTTGGAGAGAAGATTAAGGAGATTGATAATTTAAGATTTAAACTATGATGTTCTTGTATGAATCGTACTAGAAATTATGTAGGTCAGTAGGTGTGATTATATGTAAGAGTTTGAAGGATAATATTGTAAAAATTAATAGAATTGAAGATGGAATTATAGCTTTAAATATTGTTGTTGATGCTAAGATTATTTATATATTAAGTGCTTATGCTCCTCCAGTGAGTTTGAATATGTATTCAAAATTAAAATTTTGGAATGACCTAGAAGAATTAATACAAATGATACCTCTCGAAGAAAATTTTTTTATTGGAGGAGATTTAAATGGACATATTGATAGAGGTAGATGATTTTAAAAGCATTCATGATGGCTATGGCTTTGAAATATTAAATTTTTTATAGCTTATGATTTTGTAATTTTAATACCTTATTTAAGAAAATATATGAGCATCTGATCACTTATAAGAATGTATATAATAAAACTCAGATTGATTATTTTCTTATAAAAAAAATAGATCGTTTAGATTGCAAAGATTATAAAGTTATTCCGGGTGAAAGTTTATGTACATAATATCGCTTATTAGTTTTAGACTTTAAGATGAAGGGGCAAAATAGTAACAATAAAGTAAATCATTGTTCTAGGGTTAGATGGGTGAATTTAAAGAATATTAAAAAAAAAATATTTTTGAGAGTAAGATTCTAAATCTTAAGATTTTATTTGTGCATGACTTCATGAGGAAGCTAATACTATATGAAAAAAGTAGCTATTGATATTAAGAATATTGCAAAAGATGTGCATGAAGTATTGAAGAAAAAAACTACTACTAGTAAAAATAGTTGGTGGTGAAATCAAAATATGCAAGAAAAGATAAAAAATAAGAATTTTATAAAATTAATTTAGCTGTAAAAACTGATAATTGAGAAAGATATAAAGAAACTCGTAAGGAGTTTAAGAAAGTAATTTGCAATATATAGATTTTAGCTTTTAATGATTTATATAATAGATTAGAAGAGGGCAAAAGATATATATATATATATATATATATATATATATATATAAAAGTTAGCTAAACAAAAAGATATGAGTAGTAAGGATTTAGTTCAAGTGAAGTGCATTAAGGATGAATATTAAAAAGTGCTTTTATTAGAAATGGTATTCAACAAAGGTGGATGAGATATTTTTCTAAACTTTTTAATGAATATTATGAGAAGGCAATTGACTTTAGTGATCTTAGCATCCTAAATGAAAATAAAGGTTTTTGTTTTTTATCGACGTCTTAGTAAAATTGAAGTTCAAGAGGCTTTAAGAAAATGTGTAAAAGCTATTGGACCTGATGATATTCCAATAGAGGTGTGAAAATGCTTAGGAGATGAAGGAAGATATTGGCTTACTAAACTTTTTAATATTATTTCAAAGATTAAAAGATTTCAGATGAGTGGAGAATGAGTGTGTTGATTCCTATTTTTAAGAATAAAGGTGATGCACAAGATTATGTGAATTATAGAGAAATTAAGTTAATGCGTCATTGATGAGGACATCGGAAGATCAGCGGCTACGATCTAGAATTTATTTTATTTTTGATGTGTCTTATGTACTAATTTATCTTATATTTCTGTTTTTCCCATTTTACCCCTAGGGGTGGTCATGTGGTGTTGTAGCCTAAAGGGCATTTTTGTCTTTATTTTTTCTCTTTTCATGAGGCCTATTTATAGGCTAGCTCTCTTGTATTTTAGGATGATTATTGAAATGAAATTTTAGTTTTTTTTTGCTTGATCTCTAAGTGAGTTCATGAGAAGAGAGACCTTAGGTGGGTGAAAGCAATACCCGTCAACCGTGGTGTATTCCTTGGTTCGCTGTTCATCGTCTTCTTCTTTTCCCCTACATCCCACTCCCTCAATTCCCCATAACACCCGCCGGCCTTCCCCTTCCACCACCTCTGTTTTCTTTTTTTGTTTTTCTCAAAAGATTAGCCTTCTCCTTGAACCCCTACCTTCGACCCCCTTGGCTCCCAAGCCGCCGGCCTCCAGTTTGGGCCCAACCTGCCGCCCCCTCCTCACTACCTACCCAACCCGCCGGTCACCCCTCCATACTCCCCTAAATTTGAATTTCAAATATCAAATTACCCATAATCACTTTTCTAAAATACCTCCATGCTTTTTAGGAAAGATTCATTATTGAGACTCAATTTATTTTGAATTTCAAATGTCTTCCTATGAAAATAACCCCTCATTAGGAAGTTACCTTAATTTAAATCAAATCTGAATTTAAAATCTGATTTGATTAAATCACATTAATTCCATTCGGGACCACATACATCGCATCTAGACATATTCTCCCCTCTCTCCTTGGCCGGCCAACCAAGCTTCCCCCTTTAATTAATTAGATTCCTTAAATTAGGGATCTAATTAATTCTTTTCCCCCTCACTTTCCCTCCCTATCTCTCTCCAATTAACCCTTTAATACCAATTAAAATTCCCTCCTAGCCACTTAACTATCGGTCCCCTAGATATCTTGGGTCTATTATTCAGAGTGATGGTGAAATGGATGGGGATATTATTAGTAGCATTCAAGTTGGATGGTTCAAGTGGAGGAATGCATCAGGCATGTTATGTGATAGAAAAGTCCCTCTCAAACTTAAGAGAAAATTCTATAAGATGATAGTGAGACCTGAATGATTTATGGTATAGAATGTTGCCATTAAAAGAGAAGCATAATATTAAATTAAGTGTTACAGAGATGAGGATGCTCAAGTGGATGAGTGGCTTTATTCTTAAAGACATGATACGAAATGAGCATATACGTGAAAAGGTTGGAGTAGCTCTCGTGGAAGATAAGATTAGAGAAATTCGCCTTAGATGGTTTGGTCACATAAAACGACGGCCTTCTGATGACCCGGTTAGGAATCTAGATATATTAGATTTGACTTATATAAAGAAAGGTAGAGGTAGACCTAAAAAGTCTTGGTTAGAAAATATTAGAAATGACATTTCTTTATTAGATTTAGATGAGAATTTGACCCTTAACAGTACACAATGGAGAAAAATGATTCATATAGCTGACCCCACATAGTGGGATAAAGGCTTGATGTTGTTGTTGTTTTCTTATTGAGATTCTTCCTTTTTTATTTTTTTACATTTTTTTCAAGGAGTAAAGAATCATGATTCATAAATGATGAAAATCAAATTAAACGTGAACTCTATGAGCTACAAGCCTCATATCACATGAATAATTTTTTTTTTCTAAAATAATCTCAAATTGTGATCACCTTTTTGAAAGAAAAAGAAAAGATATTTCATCTTTTGGATCCTCCTTTAGAGCCAAAAGACGCAAAATTTAAGTACTTCTTGAGACAAAGTTAATGAATCAAAATAAAAAATATTCTTCTTATTAAAAATATCATGGCTCTATGAAAGAAACAAATTGATTATTGTAAACCTTATGAAACCCCTAACCGAATTAGGTTAAAAATTGGACGTAGAAGAAGAAGAAAAAGAAGTAGACTTGGGATAGTATTAAATATTAGTTGGAAAAATAATCTATCTCATATTGTCGCATTTGCAGTGAGTTTCATCAGACAATTCATGCATAAATTCAAAATGTCGTACTTTCAAGTTGATTATAGAATACTCTAATACCCTAAATCAAAGTCTGATAAAATAATCCTCCATACAAAGAATTATACTTTATAATTTGAAGGGTATCCTAATGTAGATTATGCAGGATCACCAATGAATAGAAGATTCACACTTGGATATTGTACATTTTTGGGAGGATTTTTCATAAGATAGAGGTGTAACAAACAACCTGCTATTTCAAGATTTAGTGTTGAATTTGAGTTTAGAGCCATTGCCCAAGAAATTTACGAGTTTTTGTAAATTAAAATTCTTTTGAAATTTTTAAAAAACAAATGGCAAGGGCCGTTGATGATATAATATGATAATAAATTTGCCATTTGCATTGCTTATAATCTAGCACAACATGATCTTTATAAGGATGAATTACTTCATGTGAATTTTAGTTGATGGCTATTAAATTATTACCTGCAATAATTCCTTCTTATTTTTTATTTTCATCCAAAGAAATTAGTAGTTGTCTAAATTAACAGTTTATGATCTAGAAAATTTTATGTTTGTGTTTTTGAGGATCTCAATGTAAATTTGCATTAACAAATCATAGATTCTAATATATCATACATGAACATGTCAGTTTCATGTTAACTTTAAAATGGAAACTGAAAGTTGGGCTGTAAATTTACATGCGATAGAGAAGGAATGGTATCATATGAACAATATTAAAATTTTCCAATAATGTGGCTGAATTGCAGTAACACTTATTTCCTAAAATCATTACTATTACTAGTGAAATTCATCATCAACATGCCCTATTTTTCTAAATGAAGCTGAAATTTCATAGCATGAAATTCAAAATAGAGAAGAACTCTGATATGCTCGAAGCTATAGAAACTCCAACCACAATACACATCTCATTCCAGCTACATATGCTTTTAGGACATAATCTAATACAACATGATTTCACCAAATATGTGGAGGTAGGTAAATATTTTATAAAAGAGAAACGGAAAAGTGTGTGGATCTGCCCTTCTTATTTGCCAACAAAAAATAACTTATAGATATTCTCATGAAATGACTCTGCAATCCTAAATTTAAAAATATTATAAGAATGCTTATAATTGTATATTTATACCATTTAATTTGAGGGGAGTGTTGAAGGATCGTGGGACTCACAAGTCAACCAATTTTGATAGGGATTCTTGAGCATACGGGTTAAGGGTTTTAACTGTTGGATTGATCATCTTATGACCCTTAGATTGACTCCTACTCTAGCCGCCACCCTCTATTGGGAATTTTTTTTACTTATTTTATAAATAGCTTTAATTTATTTCCATTATAATCATTTTGAAAAATTCTATAAGTTCCTCCACACTTTATACATAATTAAGCAATAAAACTTTAAAATAGTTTTTTTTTTTCTTTTCTACTTTTCCACGGGCAATATTAACAAATCAGCTAGTCTCATTAGTTTGTTGGTTAAATTAGTGTTGAATGATTAGGAAGGAAAATAGGAAGACCTAAATTTCATAGATATTAATTATTCAAAAATATTTGTGCTAGTTAAGTTTAATACCACATAAAAGACTCAAAGAAATATTAAAAATTGAGGATTCATAAAGCTGATTCCAAATTAGATTAGATTAGATTTTATTGACACATTTGAAGTTCAATGTTATGCTCTTCGTCTTATGTGATTTTGTAACTGTTTATAGTTCTTAGAAACATCATTTCTGAGAACTCCAGTGATATTTTAGGTAGGTTTAATAGTCTTTCCATGTTTATTATTTGAATTCGAAATCTGGGTCTGTTGGCGTACTTTTTATTTTGGATAAATATTTTCTACTATAGTTTGCATGGCGATTCATGCGTGATTCATCCTCATGTTCATGTTAATTTTCAGTAGTGGTCTGACTTCTATGTAAATCCGTTATGTACTGAGTATAATTAATTTTCAGGCAGAGGCTCTTGATCTCAACAAAACTGTCATCGAGACTGTGGAAGAAGCTGCAGAAGACTGGAGAATTGACGACATAAAAGGACTTCTTGGCCGTTGTAACTTCAAAGCAGACATGCTTGATAGAAAGGTGTCACTTCTTAGTGGTGGAGAAAAGGTATTTGCTTTATGTTTCAGGGCATTACAATCTCTTCTTTACCTCTCTTATTATCTTCATGTAATGGAAAATGGCTTGTTTCTTCGAAACACTGCAATCATTTTCTTCCTTATCATTAGCCCAAACCGATTTACTGATCCCCTCAATTCATTTTTGTTGTATTGTACATGTCTATGACTTGTTACTCACTAATTGGCATATTTCTCTCCATCTTACATGCCCAAATTTCATAAGTTATTGCCAAGTTCTTTATCTTCTATAATATTACTTTCATTGTTCCTATCATATCATCATTTCTTGAACTATTCATCATCAATGTCATCTTTATTACCTAATAATTGAAGTTCATATAATTTATTGTGTCTTCGCTATGTTCTCTTCTCAGAGTATTTCAAAGACTTTTTCTTTTTAAACAGCTTGTTAAAACTTGTTTAAATTGTGACTTAATTAGTATCCTTATTCATTTGAGTTGGAGGAACTTGGTTGGTACCTAAATCTATCTCATTTAGATATTAACTGATATTCTTTATTACATTTAGATATCACTTGATATTCTTGTATTTTTCACCAACTATCATCAATTATACATTCATAGAACTTGCAAATCATATACAAAATTTTGTTAAAACACTTTACCTTCAACTTAAAAAAAAAAATTGCTATTCCTTTTTTTTTTCTTCTTTTGTGGAAGAGTTTTGACCTATTAAAACCGGGCAAATACGAAAGTCAATTACCTGAGTTTGCATTATATTTGTAAGCATCTCAATGACCAATACAAAAGGGACGCACACTCAATGCTTATTGTATGGCAACAATCATTTTCTCCTGGTTTATCAATAGCTAGCTGCTATGCATGTGTCCTTTCAAATGCTTATTTCAAGAACTGATGAACTGTTTTCTTTAGCTTATCCCGTTTTTCTTAGGATTGATTTTTTAGTTTATTTCCATCATTAGTTTCAATTAACTGGAAAAGTTCGTTGATTTTTTTTCATTTCAAATTTTGTGTTTTACTTGAGAATATAGAATGATGTGGACAGTGAAGAAAGGCTGGCACCAGCAGTTGAGTGAAGTGTTAGAAGCAGACTACATGCTGAAAACAGAGGACAGGTACTTAAATGAATAAACAGAGGATGGGCATATAGAGAAGTTTGAAGTAGAATTATTTCATTATGTATTAATCACATTACATAGTAGAGGAAGAGTGCATATATACGAAAGTGTTGTAGACAGAAATTGAACTAAAGCAGAAAACTGTTATAGATTAATGGTGGAGAGGGTTAGCTCTGAAAAAGGTGACTGAATGTTCTGCAGTGTATATGAAGTGGAGAATTTGACAGGGTTGCTTGCTTACATGTGATCAGTTATCACCTCCCAAATGAATGATCTATGTGTTATAGTGTTAATTTGTTACGAAGAAGGGTAAACCTGGATGGTGAGAGAGTTTTACTAAGGAGATCAGTAGGTTGATCCTTGGAGCCAAAGTGGTTAATTGTAACTTCATTGGAGTGGATGCAATTCCAAATATTTATGTGTTTTGTACATTCATGAAAGACCAGATTGTTAGTCAAAATTAATGCTGATGTGTTGTCACAATGCAGTGGTGTGGCTGAGGAAATCGGGATGTTGAAGTCACTTAGCAGTCGATGAAGCCAGACAATGTTGAAAGCGGTGGAGGCGAGAGCATGATATTCAACTTTGGTAGAGGATTCAATGATGGTGGGCTGCTTTTGGACACTCCAAGAGAGGAGTGTCACCAAAGTATGTGCAATAGTCAGTTGTGGATTTCCTACTGAAAGGATTTGTGGCCCAATGTAAATATTCATAAGAATGAACAGTGAGATTACCTTTTGATTATTAGAAGTCTGAGGTAGATAGTGCTTTTGATATATCGAGGAAAACGTTTGAGTTGTTGATAGTGTTGTTTGAGAGGGTGATGGATGAACTGACAAAGCTGATTGGTAGCAAAGGCAATGTTTAGTCAGGTGATGATGAGGTACTGTAGAGAACTTGTGATATTATTAAAAAGAGTTGGGTTGACAAATGGCTGATCTACATTGGATTTGGCCGAGAGTTTGATGGACATTGAAGTAATATCTGGCTTGCATTCAGCTAGGCCTTATTTTCTTAAAAGTTCTTGCATGTATTGTCTTTGGTGTAGGAGGTAGCTAGCTGCAGTTGGCACCACCTGAATGCCTAGAAAAAATGAGACCGGTCCTATGTTTTTGAGTGAGAATTGCAGCTGAAGATTAAAATTATGGTGTGGAGAATTGCTTGTTTGTTGCCGGTGATGAGAATCATCTACGTAGATGAGGAGGTAATCATAGATGTCATTATGGGAGTAGTGGAAGAGAGAAGTATTGGAGGTGCTGAATTTGAAGCCACAAGATTGTAGAAAGCTAGAGAAGGGTTCAAACCATTTTCGAGGAGCTTGTTTTAGCTCATAGATAGCTTTATGAAGTTTGCAAATATAGTTAGGATGAAGATTGTCAACAAAGCCTTGTGGTTGAGGCATGCAAACATCTTTATGAAGTGTGCCATGAAGGAGAGTGTTAGAGACATCAAGTTGGAGAACTAGCCATTGATTATGAAGGGTAGTAGTAAAGAGAAATCTAATTATAGACATTTTGGCAACTGAGTTGAATGTTTCAAAATAATCAACTCCATATTGTTGATTGAATCCTTGAGCTAGTGAGTGAGTTTTGTGATGGTCAAGAGTACCATTTGATTTAAGCTTAGTTTCATACGTCCAATGACAACCAATGATATTATGGTGTGAGGGAGGTTGAACAAGAGATTAAGTGCCTTGTCGCTGAAGGGCTAGAAATATGGCATACATTGCTTGGCTCCATCGGGAAATTTTGAAGCTTGATAGAAAGAAGTTGGAGCGGCAAAAGGTGGAGTGTGGGTTGCTCGATTGAAGATGCTTTTGGGCTTAAGGTTTCTGGTTTTTGAGCGGGTAGTTATTGGATGGATGTTAGAGGGGATGGGTATTGGATCGACAGCAATGGGAAACAACACGAGCTGATTGTAGGAGTTGAGGAGTTGAGCTTGTATTGGTGAATGCACAATTGGGTGTATTGGAAGCTAGAAACGTATGTTGTATGGGATCTGAAGTAGAAATTGGAAGAAGTGTAAGCGGAAATCTTCCTAACATGACGAGAGATGAAATTTTTGTTGGTTAATGTATTGTAGCAACGATAACCTTTGTGGGAAGAGGAGTAGCCAAGAAAGATACACTTGGTAGAGCAAGTGCAAGTTTGTTGGGTTGCAACTAGTTGCATCCATGGAAAGCATGGACATCCAAAAGTTTTAAGGTGAGCATAGGAAGGGGAGGTTTGGTGGAGGAGCTGAAAAGGATATTTATTGGTGGTAGATTTAGAGGTAAGGCAATTTATATGATAAATTGTTGTGGGTAAAGCTTCAAGCCAAAAAGAGGGGTTAGGCATGCCACATGAAAAATTGTAAGAGTTGTTTGAATTAAATAATGATGCTTGCATTCAGCCACTTCGTTTTGTTAATGAACAACTTAGAGAAAGGTTTGTAAGTTATGGGAGGTTTATTCCTCACCATAGTTAGAGTGGAACACTTTAATTTTAGAGTGAAAGAAATTTTCAGTCATTGTTACAAAATGAATAAATTTATGTGAAGTTTTAGCTTTGCTATGCATTGGAAATAACCAGAAAATTTTGGTGAAGTCATCAACAAAAAACACATTATATTTGAATCTATTGAAAGAAGGGGCTGAAGACTGTCCCCATACATCTGTATGTATAAGTTCTAAAGGTTTATATGTATGACAACTTTTTGTAGAGAAAGAAAGTTTGTGACTCGGTCACATTATAAGAAGTGTATTGGAATAAAGTAGAGGTAGAAGGTATTTTAAGTGGTTTTGCAAGGGAGAGAATAGCTTGATGCTGATGTCCGGTACAAGCATGCCAGAAAACAATGGAGTTGAATTGAGTGGAGAGAATTGTAGTAGACATAGAGAATGTTGTGGATTGTAGGGGGTAGATGGCATTACCGCACCAACATTAGAGAAAAGTTTTATTAGTTGAAAGGTCTTTGATGGTGAAACCAACAACATAAAAAATGGAGTAGTTATTGTCAGAGCTTAATTGATTTATAGATAATATATTTTGAGAAAGAGTGGGAACATGTAGCAGATTGTTGAGGAGGAGCTTACGATTAGGGAAGGGAGTATTTGAAAGACTCCACGCCTTAGAATTGTGAAATGAAATTATTTGTGAAGTGGGACTACAAGGAGCTGAACTTCAATTATGAACCATTTGAAAGGCTCCACGCCTTAGAATTATGAGGTTTGCCCACCAAAGAACATACATCCTAGTTTTGTAATCTTTCTGTTCAATAAACAAAAGAAACGCTTGCTTCCTCTAGTTTTAATCAACCTATGACCCGCAATTAAAGTGTTTGTTAGTTGTGGAAAGATAGGATATTCATAAAGTTGTTGATTACTATTATTCATGCTTAAATCTTTTTTATTAGGAGTTAAATTTAGAAGCTTATTTTTAGGTGGGAAGACATGGTTGTGAAATGGAATTATTTGTGAAGTGGAAACTACAATGAATTGTACTTCAATTATGAACCATTTGAAAGGCTTGACATGTTAGAATTGTGGGGTTTGCCCACCAAAGAACGTACATCCTAGTTTTGTAATCTCATTGTTCGATAATCAAAAGAAACACTTGTTTCCTCTGGTTTCAATCAATATATGACTCGCAATTAGAGTGTTTGTTATTGGTGGAAAGATAGAATATTCATAAACTTGTTGATTACTATGATGCATGCTTAAATCTTTTTTATTAGGAATTAAAATTAGAAGCTTATTTTTAGGCGGGAAGACATGATTGCGAAACAGAATTATTTGTGAATTGGAAACTACGATGAACCGTACTTCAATTATGAACCCTTTGAAAGGCTCTACACATTAGACTTGTGAGGTTTGCCCGCCAAAGAACGTACATCCTAGTTTCATAACCTCTCTATTCGATGAACAAAAGAAACTCTCATTTCCGCTAGTTTCAATCAACTTATGACCCGGAATTAGAGTGTTTGTTAATGGTGAAAATATATGATATTTAGTAAGTTGTTGATTACAATGATGCATGCTTAGATATTTTTTTATTAGCAGTCAAATTTAGAAGCTTCTTTTTTATGTGGGAAGATATGGTTGCAGAATGGAATTATTTGTGAAGTGGGAACTACAAGGAGTTGTACTTGAATTATGAACTGTTTGAAATGCTCCTAACCTTAGAACTATGAAGTTTGTCCCCCAAAGAGCATAACCATCCTAGTTTTTTTAACCTCTCTGCTTGACAAATAAAAGAAACGTTTGTTTCCTCTTGTTTCAATCAACCTATGGCCTTGAAAATTAAATTGTTGTACGTTTATTTCACATGGAAGGCAACATTTCGGCAACCACCTACAATATTCCATTATAAATAACTGTATGAAGGATTGCGATTTATTTTGCACTCCAAATAACATCTAGTGGTCTTTTATATTAAAATCAGTGGTGGAATCTGAAAGAACTGGGTGGTTCTAAGCCCCACAGATTTTTTTTTTAAAGAAGGTTCAATTTATTTATATATAATGTGAAAGCTCTACTTCTATTTTTTTTTTAAATCGAAAACAAATCAAATGAGATTAGGAGGATGTATCTTCTTCTTCATTTATTCAATTTTGCTTAGTAGGATGTCATTCCTCCAGATTTATACATCTGTACAACTTATAGAGATGCTTTGTAACCTATCTATCTCCCTGCATACCATCCTACTCTTCTACTGTCCAAGCTTGTAAATCTCTGTAAATTACTCTTTCAATATAATAGACGATCGCTCTTTTTATTCATTTAAATTGAATTCTGGACACAGGCACGACTTGCATTTTGCAAGTTCATGGTAAAACCTTCTACCTTATTAATCTTGGATGAACCTACCAACCATCTGGATATACCATCAAAAGAGATGCTTGAGGTATCTATCCATCCCATCCTCTTTTCTTGATACTATGCTCTCATGTTTCTGTAATAGCTAGGGAAGAAAAAAAAAATTTATATTTTTTTTTATTTTTAACAGGAGGCCATATCAGAATATCAGGGCACTGTTATCACAGTTTCTCATGACCGTTATTTCATAAGGCAAATAGTCAACAGAGTAGTGGAAGTGAAGAATAACACTCTGCAAGACTATGCTGGTGATTACAATGTAAGCAACCTCAAATGAGCTTGAGCTTATCCGTATATTCTATTTAAATTTAGTTATCTTTTGCTGTAGTTGCTCACATGGTATCGATTGTTATATCACAGTACTATTTGGAAAAGAATCTGGAGGCCAGGGAAAGAGAAGTAGAACGTGAAGCGGAGCTTGATGCGAAAGCTCCCAAGGTTAAAGCCAAATCTAAGATGTCAAAGGTGACTATTCATTGCTACCTCAAGATCCAAACTTTTTTAATAAAATGTTTTGGGCAGGCAGAGCTATAGCTTTATTTATGTCTTTTTTGTTTTGGTGAGCAGGAGGAGAAGGAAGTGAGAAAGAAACAGAAGATGATTGCTTTTCAGCAATCCAAGTCAAAATCAAAAGGATTGAAGAATGCTAAACGTTGGAAGTGATACATATTATTATATATTAGACTTCTTAGTTTCACAAGAAAGTAGAATGTTGTCCTTGTAATTAACCATTGGAATATGGAAAAAAAAAAAAAAAAAAACCATTGGAATATGGAATCTTTGTATATAATTCCTATTTATCATGCAATGCAGAAAGTATATGACTTTTTCTTGGGTTCTGCCATGTTTAAATCTCTTTTTCTTGAGAGCGCTTGGCGGCATAATTAATTTCTTGACTGAACTTAGTGAGACCACTCACCGGCATCGGGCCCACATTTTTTTTTGTCCCATTGAAGAGGCGAGGCCGTAGTAGAGAGGATTCGAATCCGGGATGAGGGTTCCCAACCGTGCTCGTCCACCAACCATCCTAAGCCTCGGTGGGTGCAATATTTAGTTTGATTATAAAGTTTGTTAAAATTAGAGTTTGTATAGTGTTGACTTTAAGTTTGAGAATATTTTTATTCAATTATTATATCTAGATTCGCGTTTGATAATATGAATTTTCTTTTGATCGATCAATAATGTAGATATGATAATATTTAACTTTAACAAAATCTTCAATCTTAATTTTTAATATATGTTTATTTTGGCTTATATTTGCAACTAATTTAAATAAATATGAGACAAACAAATAACAAGTACTATTAAACAACTTGAAAATCTATTAATATTTCTTAGATAAAGTTTATTTGCTTTGATTGCAAAATAATTGTAAAAAATACAGGTAAAATATGATTCAAAATTAGAGGAATATAATGATTAAAAGATAAAATAAAGAAATTAAGTAACATTTGAATATATTTTTAAGATAAAAAAGTTTTGCTTACAACATAACTCTAAATTAAGAGCTATTACAAAATTATCTAAGTGTTACTATTAAAAATTAAAACTGTATTCATAATGAATTTCAAAATCTCTAAATTTTATTTAAAAAGAGTATAATATACATACAACTAATATTATTTTATCTTTTTGAAAGCTTTATTAATTATTTTCTTTCATTAGAATAATTTGAGCCAAAATTTCCCTTAAAAACAAAAGATGATTTGTTATTTTTTTAAATTATATATAAAAAAACAAAAAAAGCAAAATGAGTCACCCTCCGTTAAATAATGAGGATGGTGGGAAAAACGGCTGATAGTACTTTCAAGGCTGTTTTTGTCATTTGGCTTCCAAATAAGCCTCATCGGTTCGACGCCGCACACTGCACACGCGACACCAAAGAGGACAGAAAACCAATGAGTGCTGGGAACGTGTCATATAGCGCCGATGCGCGTGCCTGCTTTCGCCATTTGATCGGTTGTTTGATAGCTTTCAATGTCAATTAATAGATGTTATACATTTATGTTAATCGATCTAAATTTATACTACTATTATAAAAGAATCTTAAGTTTTCTTCCAAATAAATTATGTCCATCCTTTTTTTATTAATTTTAATTATTAAAATCAAATTTCAACCCTTACCTTTAATTTTTAATTATTATAATTATATTAACACAATTAATATTAATACCCGTCTATAATAATACACGTTTATATTTAATGCTTCGTTCGCCGATTAATGTTTCGTTCACCGTTTTCACCTATTATATTTCACCTTTAATTCGTTCGCTGTTTCCGTCTCTTATATTTCACAAGTTTGCCCAATTTCGCCTCTTTGCTTACCAGCTCTTCAGCTTGACCAATTAAAAAATAGAGAGATTTACATACATACAATTATTATTATTATTTTTTTTTGGACATTTAGGCCATTTAAGGCAAACTCACACACACAACGCATACACAAAGACTCGAACCTTGGACCTCTTAGTTGGAAGCCTAAGCTCTCAACCAATAGGCCAAGGAGAGTTGTGTACATACATACAATTATAATAGTATAAATTTAGACCAATTAACATAAATTTATAACATTTATTAATTGACATTGAAAGCTATCAACCAACCGATCAAATGGTGAAAGCAGGTAAAAATAACAAATCATTTTTAATTGACATTTGGGGCCTCATTTTGCCTTTTTTTTTTAAAATAACAAATCATTTTTACGAGAAAATTTGGCTCAGATTATTCTAATGAAAGAAAATTGTAATAAAAATAATCAATAAAGCTTTCAAAAAGATAATATAATATTAGTTATATGTATATTCTGCTCTATTTAAAATAAAATTTAGAGATTTTGAAATTCATTATGAATAAAGTTTTCATTTTGAATATTAACACTTAGATAATTTTGTAGTAACTCTTAATTTAGAGTTATGTTGTTGTTGCGTCCTAGAGTATTCGCGGCGGTAGAGAAATATAAAGTTTAGTGTCTTAGCATTATACGAAGAGCCAACACGCAAGCAGATAAGAGAGAGGGTGTAGCGTTCATAAGAGACAGAAAAGGGGAAAAAATCACGTGGCCTGACCTAGTTTGAATGAATCTACTAGTATTTGTAATCGATTACAAATGAGGCCCTTCCTTGGGAGAAGGCCTTGGCTTAATGATACATCATATAGAGCACATTACATGGCGGGAGTTACAATGTAGACATGTTTGTTTGGTCGGCATGACCATAGTCGATAGGATGAATGTCAAAAAGATCGTTGTCTTGTGATAGAGGTCGGAAGGACCATAATAGGTGATGCAGGTCGGAAGGACCGTAGTCGTCAAAAGACAAGGGTTCGAAATATCTTAGTTGGCAGTAAACCAGGGTTTGAAAGACCGTTGTAGTATGGCGGTATTCTGGTAGAACTCTGGACATCAGGTGGTGGCCCAGCACAAGTCCGGGCCTCAGGTGCTGTCCTAGTGGAGCACAGGGCCTCAAGTGGCGGTTCGGTGGAAGTCCGAGTCTTAGGTGGTGGTCCGACGGAGGTGAGAGCCTCCAGTGGTGGTCCGGCGGAGCAACGACGTCAAGCGGTGGTTTGGCGGAGGTGAGGGCCTCAAGTGGTGGTCCGGCAGAGCAACGACGTCAGGCAGTGGTCCGACGGAGGTGAGGGCCTCAAGTGGTGGTTCGGCAGATGTGAGAGCCTCACGTGGTGGTCCGACGGAGCAACGACGTAAAGAGGTGGTCCGGCGGAGGTGAGGGCCTCAAGTGGTGGTCCGGTGGAGCAACGGCGTCAGGCGGTGGTCCCGCGGAGATGAGGGCCTCAAGTGGTCGTCCGGCGGAGCAACGACGTCAGGCGGTGGTCCGGTTGAGGTGAGGGCCTCAAGTTGTGGTTCGATGGAGGTGAGGGCCTCAAGTGGTGGTCAGACGGAGCAACGGCGTGAGGAGGTGGTCCGGTGGAGGTGAGGGCTTCAAGTGGTGGTTAGGCGGAGGTGAGGGCCTCACGTGGTGGTCTGGCTGAGCAATGATATCAGGAGGTGGTCCGGCGGAGGTGAGGGCCTTAAGTGGTGGTCCGGCGGAGTAACGACGTCAGGCGGTGGTCCGGCGAAGGTGAGGGCTTCAAGTGGTGGTCCGGCGGAGCAACGACGTCAGGTGGTGGTCCGGCGAAGGTGAGGGCCTCAGGTGGTGGTCCGACGAAGGTGAGGGCCTTCAGGTGGTGGTCCTGCGAAGCTCCGACGGTGGTCCGGCGAAACTCCGGCGGTGATCGAGGAGGAGCTCCTTCCTTCTATTCTTTCTCTTCTTCCTTCTCTTCTCTTCTTTCTTGGAGCCCCTCTCAAGAGAAATGAAGGGTCTATTTATAGATTTCTAGAGTGGCATGACCCGTAAATAGGTGAGAGATCAAGGATAATTGTGGAGTGGTTGGATGGACGGCCGATATTGAATCCCATGATTGTATAACGTTCGTCAGACATTTAGAGGTCTTAATGATTTTGGAATTCGGCAATCTTGGGCTCGTTGGATTTGTCTCGCTGAGCCGCTCGATTTGACTATAAGCTTTTAATGTTTAGAAACCGTTTGGTAACTCAAAATGTGGTACGAAGCTTCTAACCGCGCTTCAGGGCATTAATTTGGACTCATTTGGGCTCGGATTGAGTCGAATTTGGAGTCGTTGGGTTCGTATTCTCGAGACGCTCAGTTCAACTATAAGTTTGCTGAAATCAGAGTTTAGATGGTCCCAATTTAAAGTTTGGAAGTTTCCTACTTGATTTTGCATCGAGATTTGTGTCCGATCAAGATAATTTTTTGATGACGTATCACATACCATTTTATTTCAGTTATTTACATATATAGCACCCAAAATATTAATATTATATGCCTATCACTTATAGAACAAATTTTGGTGCATGAAATGAAATGTTAAAGTTTATAGGATTATGTGAATGATAGAAATGAATTATAGGAGTGGTATATTTGATATTAATTTTGGATGCATTGAATGAAATAGTAAAGTTTATATGATGGTCTGAATGGTAGAAATGAATTATAGGAGTAATATATTTGATATTAAAGTTGTATATGGGTGATAGACATGTAATATTAATGTTTTAAATATTAGATATGTAAATAGCATGAAATAAAGTGGCATGCATGTAAATTTCCTCAAAAAATATTGGCCCGCCATGATCAAAGCAAATGCTATATATATGTTATATAGCTCATTTTGATATGTTGGTTGAAAGCTTTAGTTATCAATTAAAAAATTATGAATTCAAAGTTTTTTATATGTAATGTGTGTATAAATTTATTTTTAATTTACTCAAAAGTCCATTATATATATAAGCCTTAAATAAAAATTTTTAGCCCTTTATTGATAGGGAAAGAAAATAATTTAACTATAGAGAGATAATTTAGAGGAAGATTTTGAAGAAAATCTTTTATATATATATATATTCAGAAATCAAAACAAACTATTTTGTAGAACAAACGACTGAGAGAAAAAGAGCACCTGAAGAGCATGGAGTTGAGAAGATCTCAGCTTTCTATGCAGATTAAACTGGAGAGAGAGATGAGACTTGAGAGAGAGGATGAAGATGAAAGATAAATGAATGAAGGGGTGGTGCTATGTACAAATAGTGAGAGATGTAGATTATGTAAAATAAGCTCGGGCAGAAAGAAATACAGAAAAAGGAAAATGATAAAAAAATATTTTTTTTAATATACAGAGATTAAGTTGTCACTATTTGGGAACCCACTATTTGTACATAGCACCACCCATTCATTCCTTTATCTTACATCTTCATCCTCTCACCCTCTCTCTCTCCAGTTTAATCTGCATAGAAAGCTGAGATTTTCTCAACTCCATGCTCTTCAGGTGCTCCTTTCCTCTCATTCGTTTGTTCTACAAAGTAGTTTGTTTTGATTTCTGAAAAATGAAGTCCGAACTTTTTGATTTCGATCCGCGGCTATTAAGTTACTAACAACCAAGTTTTTTTTTTCACTATAGTTGGTTATCGGTTTAAGATTATTTGGTGTTTTGTTTTAATTCATTAACCATAAATAAGAAAGAACTTGCTGATTCCTAATCTTGTAAGGTGACGAATTAGGTCATTTTTTTTTCTTATTCCTCTTTTTCTATTTTAAAAACTTTCGTGTTGACTGTTTTGAGTGTTTTGTTCTTTTTGATTTCCTTATTTGCAGATTATTTTAACTGTGATTTCTAATGGTGTTCTGTGTTGAGCTGAAATTTGCTCTTTTCCTTCGCCACTAATATTTATTTAAGGGAACTGATGTAATTAGATGGTGAAGAAACGAGGTGGTTCGGTGGCTTCTTTACATTTATGAAAGTTAGGGCTGGTTGTTGCCCTTGAAAATGATTCTAGACAACATTACGTTGTGTTTTGAAGTAAAAGCTATAGTTGATTTTATGCGGATGGCATAGATGATCTGAATGAGTAGCTAAACTATCTAAGTTTCGGATGCCAAATGACCTGGGAGACTAATCTGAATTGGAATATTTTGGATTTGAAATTTTGCTAAATTTTATTTAGGTTTTTACTCTCTAATTATTATTCACCTATCAAGGTTGGTTGTTTTACTTATGTTGTTTTTTTAAATTTTTTTATTTATTTTAAATCCCCCATCCTACAAACTTAGGCTGCTTTCTTCATCAGCAACTAGATGAAGTAGAAAGTAAAGGTTCTATTGCTGATTTCATGTAGGCATCTTGATTTTCCCTCAGCCTTTGTCATAGAGCCATATAGTCTTTTTAGTGAACATACTAGGTGGATCTTACATTATGATTTCCTCATTAGATCTCCTCCTTGTATGAATTTCATTCTTTGAGATGTATTATGATGCCACCTATATCTTCTATTGGGGTAGAAGTATGAAGAAATCATTTAGTGCTTGCTTATATTCATTTTTTAATAAATAGCTTGCTAGGGCTGTCTATGATCATCTTATTGGGTAAAAGCATATGCCTGAGAGCAATGACAAGTATAAGAACTTGAAAAATGATTTGCAAGAGAACACTAGGAAAGGAACAAAAGAGAGTCTACTTTGTTCAATGAGATCTGCTTACATTCACATCCGCACAGAGAGAAATATCTACTAGTCGGAAGACAAACAAGTGATAAAAATATTTGCTCTATGACATAATTTTCTTACTTTTATCTCACTTGTATTCTTCCCCTCTTTTTCTTATTCCATCTCCAAACGTGCATATGATTCCTCCATTGGCTATGTGATATAGAACGAGGGGGGAGGGGGCGGGGTAATAAAAAAATTAAATATATGAAATTCAATTTCATATTTTTCTTAATTAAGGGATTTGAATTTGAAATTCAAATAAGATGGAGGGAAGGATAAATAGGTGATTAATTATTTCCCTAATTGGATTTCTTAATAAGGAAGAAAATAATTAAAATAAGGGAGAGATGCGGCCAGCCATATGGGGAGGAAGGAGAAATGTCCACATACAATGTATGTGGACCATAGCATTAAATGTGATAGGGTAATTAAATCTGAAATTAATTTCAGATTTGAGAGATTTGAGGGGTTTCCTTAATGAGAGTTGATTTAATTAAAAAGCTTTTGGAATTCAAATTAATTTGAATTTGAATTCAAATTCTTTCCAAATAACAAGAGGCTAAATAAGAAAATAACTAATGGGGATTTAATTTGGGATCTAATGAGAAGTGAAAGGGAGGTCGACGGCTAAGGAAGGATATAATGAGTGTAATTAATGGGGAGAGGGGAATTGGGAGGGAATTTAAAACTTCCTAAGTCATGATTCTAAATTAGGAAAAGGGTAATTAAATCAAATCTAATTTAAAATCAAATTAGACTTAAATTTAGGAACTTTTCTAATTTAGCTTAGTTAATTTCAGGAAAGTATTTGAAATTTAAATTTGAATTTTAAATATATTTAATTCTTACCCCAAATTAAGTAGGCTAATTTTGGTAGGTATTAATGATGATTGAAATCATTATTAAGAGGAAAGAAGGGATGGGGGTGGTCGGCGGCTAGGAGGATGGGAGGAGATGGGGTGGCCGACTAGGAGGTAGTGTGGAATGGTTTATGGCCGGCGGTTGATATGGATAAATTGGAGGAGGCTTGTGGATTTGGAGGGGTTTGTGGAAGAATCGGCCGGTGGCAAGTGGGGGATTTTGGTCGGCGGTCAAGGGAGGAGGAGAAAAGGATTTAGGGAAAGAAAGATATAACCATGAGCCTGGACACATCCTGCAGCTGACGGGTAATACGTTGCCCTTCTCCAAGAGACTTCAAGCCACGAGCCGGACCCATCCTGCGGTTGGTGGAAAATCCGATTCCCTCCCATAGGAATCTCACCCAAGTTCTCTCCAAAGAACACAAGTGCAAAGAAAATTTTATTAATAATCCATCATTCTAATACAAGAGCAAGTGCCTCTATATATAAGCCTCAAAACAAAAAAAATTAAAAGACAACTTTGCCCCTTGGGCTTATATAAGATAAGACTCTTAAATAAGGGTAAAAATGAGAAATACAAAATTAAATCAAAATACAATTAATAAACTAAGATAAAAAAGGAGTGATCTCGACCGTTGATCTTCGTCTCTTTCATTGAGTAACGTCCACCGTCGGATGTCCGCATCACTATGCTCATCGAAGACAGAAAAAAATATGTTGTTCACTATGTTGGACCACCTTGTCAGACACCAGATCTTGTGGTAGCCACCAATTTACTTTGTTTAGAGGTCCATGGCTTTCAAATGTCACCTCAAACCTTTCAGTGCTTGTTTTCAACAACCCAATCAAGAAATCCATCTATTTGAAACTGGCCAATATATAACTATCGATACCCGAAGCCAATATATAACTATCAATACCCGATCACTCCATCGGCTTGGTCACCATACAATTGGCTAAATGAAGGAAAAGAATGAATGATCCCCTCAATGCTACTTTGTCATCTTTTTATGTAATGCTTGTAGGTGGTGGTGGCCAACTTGTATTTGTTTGTGGTAGGTAACATGCATTTGGATGCTTGGTAGAGCTTTTAGAAATGCATGAAAATCACATGAAAGAAATCTAAGGTAGGTTTTGATTTTGCAATCTGGATTGGTGAGAAAATTTTCACATCTCTACACATCTAACCCCAATACAACCCAAAGGATTGAGAAGAAGAAAAGAAGAAGAATCAGTGACTTACTTCACTTAGCTCGATGCCAAATTCCAGCCAGGTGATACGGTGTTTTTTAAGATTAACAAAGTTTTTCAAGTTTAAATTAAATAAAATAATAAGCCAGGCAATTTCCTTGATTGAAATAGTATAGTTTATCACTTTTTTTCCTAGTGCTGATCTAGCAGTAATAGTATTTTCTAAAAAGTGAAGCAGATTATTGCAACTTAAATTGACAATTGATTAGAAATAATAAAGATCATGATGGGCACCCACATTTCGGCCTACAAAACAGGGGCCGTGAACATGACATGGGTTAGTAATAGAAAATATGCAATAGGTAAACAAATAATAAAATTAGTTTTGTTTTGCTTTCATTAAATTATGGGGCATTTGTGATTGTTTTCTGTTTCTTTTTTTATTATTATTTTTTATTTTTTGTATTTTTTTATTATTAACTTATGGGATTATGATGTTGGGCACATAAGGGCATAGTTGATGCAGGATAACTTTGGGTCATTGTTTTCTAATGCAAAATTTTTAATTATGTGTGAGATCCGAAAATTTGCAACTTGGCCTCTCTGCACGGGATAGTTTTTATGAATGTTGTCGGGTCAAATTTGTCTATATTTGATTAGTATACTTCATTTACTATGCATCTGGATTTTATTTAAATTGTATGCACTTTGCAGCTTAGTGAAGAGGGCCCAGGAGAGGATTCAAGTGGTGAGGACATGCTTTGCATTCTTAGTGAGTGGCTTTTACCTGCCAAATAGTTGGATGGATCTTGGGAAAAGTTTGCTGGACAAACTGGTTTTTTTTTTTAGTAAGTTTTTTCTTCTTTTCTTTTTTCAAGTAGAAATCTTTACAGTTATATTGTTCAGCTTAATCTATGAGACTGACCTCAAATAGTAGTTATTGTGATATGCTGCAAGCGCTCTTTTGTTTACCGAGAAAGAATTAATCATTGTCTTGTTTAATGGAATGGATAAGGGATTTAATTTTTTGAAAAGATTTTTAAATTGCTTCAAGAATATGCTTAGACTTACTTGTAAGAGCATCCTTTGTTCAATTTCCAATTAAGTTTCCTTAGTTTAATGGATTAATTTTTTGTTAATTATAATTCTACATATTTTTAATTTATTTTTATGTTTTTTCTCCATTAATTTATATTCAAGTCTCATATGTATTGTACATGCTCCTATTTTGGATCAATTTATTTTTTATATGTTACCCAGTGTGATTAGATAACTTATAGAATATATTCATATTTCTTAGAAAAATATTAATATAAGATAGCAAGTCGGGCTCTCTAATGTTTAAATTATCTCACTGAGTTTAGTTTACTACCACAAGTTATTTCGATTTAGCTCTCATAAGATTATCTAGTGCAATTACTTTTGGCTCCTTATTTTAATGCATCCATCCTATTTTTTCATCTAAACATCCAGTGATTGATTTGTGTGTCAATCTACATCCTTTATGAACTTGTTGTATACTAGTTTTGATTTTTATGGTATGAAACTTAATTATAATTGAATTTCATGTTCTTGGATTGTGTAAAATTTTAAAATTTGAGGATTTTTATATTATCATTTCAAATGAACAATATTGTTTTAATTTTGCATTAAACTAGACTAGCATATGCCTATATTAAAAGTTGAGGAACTACAAAATTATGTTATTTTGTGTGTGCATATTTTTTGTGTGCATCTCAACAAACATTTATTTTAATAAACTTTCTTATGAAAATATTCATGTTTATTCAACATTTATTTTAAACAACATTTGTTTTAATCAATGATTTGCTCATTTTTCGGTAAACAAAACAACACTTGCAGTATATTGCAGCAACCGTTGTTTGAGGCCAGTCTCATAGATTAAGCTGATTAGAATTATGTATACAATTTAACTGTAAAGATTTCTACTTGAAAAAGAAGAAAAAAATTATTAAAAAAATGCTAGTCTAACGAACCTTTCCCATAGTCCATCAAACTCTTTGGCAGGCTATGATGCATCGACACTCCTATTCATGAAGGTATGTAGTATTGGACACATGTCAGACACGGACGCGTGCCCGACACAACTAAGACGTGTTCGACACGGCTGAAGCGTGTCTGATTAAAATAATATTAAAATTTAAATGGACCCACATGTCCGTTTTTTTAATAACATTGAATAAAAAATAAGTTTTTTAATTAGCCAGACCGCGCGATAGGTTTTATCTCATATTCTTTCATGTTTGAAGTCTGCAAGCGAGGGCTTCATTTCCGAGCGTAGGCGAGTTTTGTCTTCATTTCCACGAGCAATAGTGAGGGTTTTGCATCTTCGTTGTTTACGCGAGCATGTGAGGCTTCAGGATACTTCATTTATGCGAGTAGGGGAGGCCGAAGGACGCACGGAGTCTTTGTTTATGTGAGTATGTGTCCTAAAATATATGCTAATATGATTTATAACATTTAGCTGATATGATAAAAAACTAATATAATGTGCCTATATTCCATATGGAAAATTAATCTCTTTAAAGAGAGTTAATTCAAATGGTTTAAATATTACTGATAATGATTTAGAGATAGAACAGTAGAGTTCTAGTTTTCATCCAGTTTTTATAAAAAAATTCATTGAAATAATCACACAATTTAGGTTTCGTAAGTATAGAAGATTTATCATATGAGAAAATGAAATATTTGAAACTAATATCTCAAATTGCTTTGCCAACTTGCATAATTGATATATCGACTACAATAGACATCAATTGTTCAGCTTCACTTTTAGGATTATATTTAATCAATTTTAGAAGCTCAGGATCATCAGATCCCTATTAGTGATATGTGAAACTGTGAACCTAAAGAAATGGAAACTGGCATGAAGTTGAGGATGGAATATGTGCTAAAACAAGGAATTAGAACTAACTGGGCTAGGGAATGTGATGACAGCTGAAACAAAATAATTTGCGCCAGTAAATCAAATCTACCGAGATAATCAAAACACTTAGAGAACACATCTCATTAACATCATAGGTATGCTATATTTTGGATGCCACTTGGAAATTTCTTGCCACATGCGTTGTCATTCATGATATCAATTTAAATATGAATTTATTTGGGAAGTTTTAATTTTGATTAATTTGAGGCAGGATACGAAATGAGCATATACGTGAAAAGGTTGGAATATCTCTAGTGAAAGATAAGATTTGAAAGAGTCACCTTAGATGGTTTGGTCACTTGAAATGGCGATCTTCCGATGATCCAATTAGGGAAGTAGATGTATTAGATTTGATTTATGTTACGAAAGGTAGAGGTAGACCTAAAAAGGTTTGGTTAGAAAATATTATAAATGACCTTTTCTTTACATATTTAGATAAGAATTTGAATCTTAATAGGATATAATGGAGAAAGAGGATTCATGTAGCCGACCCCATATAGTGGGATAAAGGCTTGTTATTGTTGTTGCTGTTGCTGCCGCCACATGAGTTCCCACAAAGAATTATTCTAATGGTTTATGGTTAGTGGATATTCCCATGTCAATCTATTAACGGGACAATTAGTTTAATTATTAATTTCGATTTTGAAAAATTACCTGAACAATATTTATTAGTTCTCTGCTCTTGTGGCTATTATAGAGCGGTGGCGCTTTAACATTCGTAAATCGTGAAGTGATTTTTCATTGCATGATAGCTCATGTGCTACTTTCTTAAGTGTTTCAAAGAGCGGCAAGGGTTAAAATACACTAAAAAAAGAATGGTGAAGTTACTTTGTTGGTAGAAAGTCCTTTGCACTCACTTTAAACTTCTATTGCTCCTTAGAACACATGCATTGCAATAAGTACATGCTTGCGCATCCAGTGCAAGCTAGTGCTAAATTCGACCAACTTAAGTAGGGAATCTTGATATCATTAGCAAAAGATGCATATGGTTTTCCTCATTTAGTTCTATGCAAGAGTATTAAGTTGACAGGATGTTCTAATTAATTCTTTGCCTTATTTGTAGGATTGATATTTATCACGAATTCTTGAATTGCAAATGGGAAGGTCTTTCAGGGGCTGTCTATATTTATTGTATTGAGTGTCCCCGTTGTTCTTTATTTTCATTGATGCTATATAGTGTTTTTTTAAACCATTGCTATTCGATAGCTATGGACAGGGCAGATACATCTGGATTTGTCAGCGGTGGAGATTGCAGATTACATTTTCATTTGTATTTCCATTTCATCTTCCCAACAGCAGATAATTAAGGATGCTCCATTGGAGTTGGAACTTGGAAGCAGTGAAAATCCTTCGGCTCCCTGTGAACACAAACCACTACTGCTGCTGCGATCTGTTTCCCAGCTGATATATGGATCTCAACATGCCAAGCATGATACTACTTGGCAAAGAACTACAAAATCCTTTGGATGTGGAGCTGAGACAGAGCCCAAAGAAGAGTTGTGGTGACACCACATTGCGCCTTGATTGCCTAGGATATGGGATGAGTAGGACAAACCTGCCACTGTATTCAAAGAGCAGTTTTGACCTTCATTTGCAGGGTGATGGATGCCATTTAGCTCTGGGACTGAGTTCTGCATCACCTTCCTGCCATCTCAGTTGTTTTCAATCTGCTCTCGGTGAAACTAAAGAATCTGCTACTCATTCAGATTGTAGCTCGCGTTCTGGAACTGATTCTAAGATGCTGGAACTAGGGCTCTCTTGTGGTGCTATATTACAAGATTCCTTTGAAAGAACTCCCATTGCAGTTGTAGATGAAGGATCAACCTCTGCAAAGAGGAGTTCAGGCGGTTACATTCCATCTCTTCTATTTGCCCCAAGATTCGAGGGTTCTAAAGCCAAGGACCATGAACCAGAGACCTGTGAAATGCTCCCTGAAGATCATGGGCATCTATTTAGTGTCTGTTGTGATCCTTCAGCTACCACCAATTCTTCAGCAGGGACGACATCCCATTCTTCTGGATCTTATTCTCAATCGCATGACCATCACCTGAAGAAATGTAGGTTCAGCGGATGTTCAAAGGGAGCCAGAGGAGCATCTGGGCTGTGCATTGCCCATGGCGGTGGGCAGAGGTGCCAGAAACCTGGATGCAGCAAAGGTGCAGAGAGTAGTACTGTATTCTGCAAAGCTCACGGTGGAGGGAAGCGATGCCAGAAGCTTGGTTGCACTAAGAGTGCTGACAGCAAGACTGACTACTGCATTGCTCATGGAGGTGGGCAACGATGTGACGATCCTGGGTGCACAAAGGCAGCCCGTGGCAAGTCTGGTTTATGCATCAGGCATGGTGGGGGTAAACGCTGCACAGCTGATGGCTGCAATAGGAGTGCTGAGGGTCAGGCAGGACTTTGCATTTCCCATGGAGGTGGCCGACGGTGTCAATATGCTGAGTGCACCAAGGGGGCCCAGGGGAGCACAATCTTCTGCAAAGCCCATGGAGGTGGCAAGCGTTGTGTGTTTGAGGGATGCACTAAGGGAGCAGAGGGAAGCACGCCACTCTGCAAGGGTCATGGTGGAGGTAAGCGTTGCCTTTTTGAAGGCGGTGGAGTTTGCTCGAAGAGCGTCCATGGAGGGACTAACTATTGTGTTGCTCATGGAGGGGGGAAGCGATGTGCAATTACCGGGTGCACCAGGAGTGCTCGCGGCCGGACTACTTGTTGCGTGAGGCATGGTGGTGGTAAGAGGTGCAGGTTTGAGGGATGTACGAAGAGTGCGCAAGGAAGCACAGACTTTTGTAAGGCTCATGGGGGAGGTAAGCGCTGCAAGTGGCATCAAGCGTGCGAGAAGTTTGCTAGGGGAAAGAGTGGATTGTGCACAGTGCATAGCAACATGGCTGCTTGGCGAATGAGAGAAGTTGTGCCGACTATCAGAAGCAACATTGATAACGACAACTCTGCTTCAGAGATAAGTACAATCTTACACTCTGCAGAAAGGCCAGGGAGGCAACAGCAACAGCAGCTATCACCACCGCAGGTGCAGGTTCCTCTGTCTATGAAGACCGCCTCATCATTGTGTGCGGGTGGAGAGGGAGGGCAAAACAACCAAAGCAATAGGAGCTCTCAGATTGTTATCCCGGAGGGGAGAGTTCATGGTGGAGGTTTATTGTTCTTGCTTGGAGGGACCTTCAGGGATGATGCTGATATCTTTGAAATATGAACGTCTTGGATCATGAATGGATTTTTCCATTTTCCTTTGCAGGTATGGATGTAATGTTCTAGTTCATATCATTCAGATTCAGATTGTGTGCTGCTTTTATGTTTTGTGTGTACTGGTATATATATCTATAGTGTATGTAAAGTTTGAAGATATTTTGTGGATTAGAAACTGGTAAATAAGCTTCAATGTCTTGTTAAAATAATCATGTGAAAATAATGCGGTGTAAATTTCCTTTATATGTAGTCTATGACGAGACATTGTTGTGTGTGAGAGGTACCCTTGTACTCTTGAGTTATTTTCCTTAGAACTATTGCATGCAAATGATGAAATGAAATAAAAGGGTTAAATTTTCTTCGAGAATTGAAAGGTTTGGGCTCTTAAATCACCGGGCCCTTGATTAAGAAATATAAGTAAACAGGCTTTTGGACGCTAACGCGGTTTCTGCATAATGGGCTGAATATAGACTTAGTTTATTGATCATAGAAAGGAAACTAGTAAGTTGAATCAACTAAATATGTGATATGAACAAAAAAATTGATCAGAAAAGCGAATTAGTTTTATTGTCTTTAAATTATTATTAAATTTTATTTTAGATTAATATAATATATGAAATTTTAATGCAACAAAAAAACTTGTAACTTTATAAAAATTAAGTTTTTTTTCCAGTACTCATCTTCTCCTGTAAAACTCTTATCCTGCTTTATGTTTATGCTCCTTTTTAAATTAAATTTTTTAAATACTCCTAATCCTAAAACAAAACTTTTAACAAATATGCTCCATATTCCGACTTGAAAGATTCGGCATTTTGAACTAAAAAAGGTCACTCAAATGAGTCTACAAAATAAAGTCCCTCAACGGATAAAACTACTTAAAATCTCCAATCAAATATTGCATAACGTACTAACAAGACACGTGGCAGCAGTGAATGCGGTGGGACCCACTGCTCCAATTGTTGTGTGGATGGATTTGCGACAGCCTAACACTGTAGAAAAATAATAATTATACTAATAATAACCGAAGTACAGCAATTTTGACAGCTTTGAAGCTCGATCAAGTTGTGTCGACTGTGGAGTAGCAAAAAATTACGGAAAATCTGACATTTACAAGAGGATGATGAGACATAAATAATCATCTTTTAATTCATTAAATATATGAATTTATGAAAATTAAGAGTGCATTTAGGATGATTAAATTTTTTTTCATAGATGATTATAAAATTGTTATGAGAAAAATAATTTCTTAAAAAATTGTTATAAAAAATTAATTTTTAATCTATTTTTTTAAATATTAACTAAATAAAAATTGTGACAATTTTTTTTAACACTAATCCTTAAAGAATATGAAATAAGAATTTGAAAAAAATAAATTTAAATAAGTGTTTCTTTTTAAGATTTAGCATTGAAAGTTATGCTTTGTTTCAACGATTTTTTATAACTATTTTTCATCATTTTAAAAAAAATTGTATTAGAAATCAGTAAGAAAGTTATCTCAAACTAATAAGACACAACATTACTTGTGATGTGGTCGCTTCTAGACTTGCATAATAACACTGATTTCTTCATAATTGTACCTTTCAAGGCCAGCAATCTCATTCTCATCATAAAGTCTACACCACAAGCTCTCCAATGAAGCTATTGATGACAATGAAGTAGTACATTGATACTTTTCAATGGCATAAAAGACAAATATATTTCAAATTCATTCAAGAAAAACATTAAACATGAGCAAATAAACTGCATCAAGATGTTTAATCTTATTTAATCTACTCTATTATTCAATAAATCTTCATTTTATTTTTAAAGAATAGAATAAAATTTTATTTATATAACCGTTGCAAAAGTTCATTTATTGTGTGCTTAATAATAAAGCATTAAAGCATTGCCCGCTACAAAAATATTTGAAAAGCAAAGACAAATCAAAATAAAAAATTGGTAAATGTTAATGCAGTACCATTAATGCAGCCATTCTTTTCGGTATGGGATAGAGTGTTAGGGACCTACATGCCCTACAGGTTAGCCCCCAGGACAGATGGTGGATATGAAACAAGACCCTTCAAGTGTTAATGCAGTACCATCTTCAATATAGGAGGGTTTTTAAATATGTTTGATGAATTTGTCTTCAATCATTAGCCTGATAGGTTTCTTTTTCACTTAGGAAGTGCTGAGAGTTTTCTCTTGTTTTATTTTTATTTTTATTGTAATTGAGTTTATTTGGCTTTTAGAGCTGTTATTTCCATTATTCCACAGGTGGGATAATGCAATTAGATTTGAAACTTCTGTTCTGTAGAATTTGATTTCTCTTATTTTTTAAAATGGTGTATTCTCTGAAGTATGTTGCAGCAGAATATGCTGTGAAACCATATGATTAGAATATATTTTATAATCACAAAATTTGAGGATCAATTTTATAATCATTAAATTCACTTAAAGATGAGTGCAACATGTTTTAGATATCTTGGATCTATTGTTTAGAGTGATGGTGAATTGATGGGGATACTATCAACAGAATTCAAGTTGGATGGTTGAATTGGAGGAATGCATCGGGCTTGTTGTGCGATAGGAAAGCCCCCCTCAAACTTAAGGGAAAATTCTATAAGATGGTGGTGAGACCTGCAATGCTTTATGGTGTCAAATGTTGGCCATTAAAAGATAAACATAATACTAAGTGTTGCAGAGATGAGGAAGCTTAGGTGGATGAGTGGCTTTACACTTAGAGATAGAATATGAAATGAGCATATACGTGAAAAATTTGGAGTAGCTCCAGTTGAAGATAAGATTAAAAAGAGTCACCTTAGATGATTGATTTGGTCACATTAAATGGAGAAAAGTTGAGGTATTAGATTTGACATGTTAAGAAAGGTAGAGGTATACCTAAAAAAACTTGGTTAGAAAATATTAGAAATGATCTTTCTTTATTAGATTTAAATGAAAATTTAACTTTTAATAGGACAATAGCGAAAAAGGAATCATGTAGGCATGTAGCCGACCTCACGTAGTGGGACAAGGGCTTGATGTTGTTGTTGTCGTCGTCGTCGTCGTCAAGATAAATTTAATGATTATAAAACTCATTAGGATTATTTATCAAATTTAAATTATGATATCATTACCCAATTTTTTTCTTAATAAAATAAAATTTAGAGAACCAGTCCAACCCAGTCAAAAGCAGAACAGCATCGGCAGCTCAGCTAAAATTAGGAAGCCAAGTTTACCTGGGCCAAAATGCCTGCATGAATCTCATCCCACGATATCCCTAAGTGGAGCTTCCACGCCACCAAGTAAACAATGGAGAAGAAGGGGAACCTACAGGGACCGTCTGCACCTCTATTGTAGGATAAGAATATCTCATCTGTGTAATAATTTAATACAAGCAAAATAGTTTACTTTTTTCATGTACATTACTATAAAAAAACATCTCTATATAAATCAATAAATGTGGGTCAGCAAGCATCAAGAAGAAACATAGCAGTTTAACAACGAACAAAAAACAATAATGAAACAAACGGTTAAGGAGCATTCAATGTCCATGTGCTCATTAGTTAGCAAGCTATTATAAGAGTTTTAATAAGAATAGGTCAACTATAAATAACTAAAACACTTGGCTAATTCCAAATATTTCAAATTAAACTATATATTAATATATAACCAAACTGGATGGAAATGCATAATGATTATAGCACAAAATGGATGATCAGTAATGGAAAGCAAGCTTGGTGAAGGTGGACTAAATTGAGATCTTTGTCACTTATCTTAATGGAACAAGCTTGGTTGAAATCAAAATCAGCTCAAGAGTGCTTTCCAGTGTATGGATCATAGAAATGGATAACAAAGCAGTATTAAAACTTCAAATCTTAAACAAGACATTGATTAATTGGCAATCACTACCCTTTTTGGAGCTGAATACACACCATCAAAACCATTCATTCCTGATCCTGAGCTTAGTTGGTAGGAGACGAAGAAAGCTTCAAGCATTCATTTTGGCATCTTCGGAGGCAAATATCATTCCAGTTGGGAACTTGATGTTGGTTGACGCAAACAGTGCGCGCACAAGCATCAGTACATGCATCGAGAAGTGAGATACCACAGACGGTAACACATGTATCAGGCGTGGGATCTTTAGAGAAGGCACCAACTTTCTTCAACATTCTTTTCGAAGTGCAGACCCTTTCGCAAACAAAAATATCATCAGAGCTTTTCTCGCGACCGCGAGCACTCTCAAGCCTCTTCTCCTCAGTTCTCCTCCTTTTGGCTCGAATGGCTTGTCCTGCAATAAGAACTGGAATAGCAGCACCGATTAAGGACCACCATACATCCACCATTGCTGGGGCAGAGCTGGACTTTGTATTTATAATCGTTTCCACACCTATCAGTGTACCAAAGAAAGAACTAAGGCAAATAAATGATCATAAGTTGGGAATTGCCAGTAAAATTTAAGAAAACAACCCACATTTTTTATAAAAAAGAATTAGTACTACGTGTCAAATAAGCATGGGCAACAGAGCATGTTTTATAGGTTTTCAGTGATTTTTTTGTATTGAAATCAAATACTAGGTGGAAATATATACATATCAAAAGTAAAAAAAAAGGGAACAAGAGAATATATTCCCCCTATGTTGTGCTCTTAGATTCACAAAATTCCATCAACAAGAAGTCACGTTTTGTAAGAATTTGGGATATGGTCCAATTTTAGTTATTGGGGCTCTTAATCAATATTTCTCTGAAAAAACATAGAAGAAACAGAAAATTGCGGCATACAACTCTTTTTTTTTACTAACCTAGATATTATCTAAACTTCACTTGAAGAGTATGAAGATCCCACTTTTGTAGTTGTATAAAACAGAGATTGAATCACGGACTAGAAACAAATATTATCTATACTGTGTTTAAAGAGTATGAAGATGCCATTTATGCAGTTGTATAAAACAGAGATGAAATCATGGACTAGGAATCTTTTTTGTAGCATGAAGAAATCCTTAAGTAGGGCAATGATCAAAATTATCTGAATCTAGAAGGGTTTTTTCTATTTTCCAGGATTTAATAAAGAAGCTAGGATCCAAACTAGCCTATAAATAGGCCTCATGAAAAGAAAAGAAATAAAAGACTAAAATGCCCTTTGGGCTACAATACTACATGACTACCCATAAGAATATAAAAGGAAAAATAATAATATGAAATAAACTAGTACATATAAATAAATAACTCAAGATCGTAGCCGTTGATCTTAGATGTCCTCATCACTAGGAATCTTTTTTGTAGCATGAAGAAATCCTTAAGTAGGGCAATGATCAAAATTATCTGAATCTAGAAGGGTTTTTTCTATTTTCCAGGATTTAATAAAGAAGCTAGGATCCAACAGAGACTATTTCCAGTTAGAGATACACATAATTGACCATATCTGATTGTAAGAAATTGAAAAGCGCATCACTCAACTACAAATATCTTCACATTTTTTATGTGCTACAAAGGAAGTGCATGACGTAGAGAGATTCTTCAATGGAAAATGTCTTAAGATCTATAATTTCTATTGCAAACAAAAGCATACAATGGAAGCAGAAAAAAAAATTGCAGCTAAAGGCCACTAATTACAGACATTCTCTTTCTTTAGATGTAAACGTAAAATATGTAAAAGCCGAACCAAATAATACTACAATGATAGATTAATTCAAATAAAAAACAATGAGAAATTCGAACTAAAAAAAAAATACCACTAAACAATTTTTTTTTTTTTGCAGCATATGAAAAACTCTGTTGTGACAAATTTTAACAAAGATCAAGAATCTTGCAATGCCGATGCCAAATATTTGAGAACAAAATAAAGGAAAAATATAACTAACATGAAGAAAATCGTAGCCTAAGAAGGTATCTTCTCACAGAAATTGTATATTGCACTTACGTTGGACTCAAAAGAAATAAGATTGATAAAAATATGAAATTTTATTGAAAAAAATCCAATATTACATCACTTGAATTTCTAATTTATAATACCCTAAATTCTCTTATGTTAGCTGCCCCTGAAATCATCCGATCACAAGTGGAAGATCACTCCATATGTCACTCAACTGAACCGCTCAAATAGGAATTCTAATACAACCAATGTAACAATCACCAATTTAGTGTTGAGCCGGATTAACATAAAGGATCGCATAAGATTTCCTCCAACTACAGAACGCAGGAAACAGACAAACATCTCAATCAGAAACAGCAGGTTTCACAGCACTACAGTTATGGGAAGTCCACATAAACAACTTCCAAAGATGAAACCAACAATGAAGCCCGTTTAGCAATCAATAAAACTCCTGACTTGCAAGATATTCAGAAATCTAGAACGGTTGAATTAATTCATATAAGTCCAGCAGTAGAACGGTAGCTAGCATAATCCAAGACTTAAACTGAACTAGATTAAATGTTACCCAAATAAATAAATCATAATTAAAGAAAATGCGTCCCATTCCCATAGGCAAGTATCATCATAGCCATTGTTTAAATAAAACCATAAATCAAGAACATAACATTATAAAATATAATTAAAACAGAGACCAAATTTACTAATATGTTGGTTGTAGCATGAAAGATTTGTGCTTTCGAGGTGTAGCCCTCAAATCCCCATCATTTTATGCTTAAACAGGAATCATGTTTGTGGGTTCATATATATATATATATATATATATATATATATATATGATGAAGCACAATTCTTATAGTATAATCTAGCATCTAAAACAACATAAAAAAAAGATGGAGCCGAGGTTTTATTTAGCTCAGTTTAATTGACTTAGTGACTGAGGATGCTCGGTATCCCAATTTTCAAATGGTCATGATACTATTGTAGGATGTAGCAGGTTAGGCGGTCGATGCATGATGTCTCCATGAACTTGACATTGATGACACTTCCCAACATGATTGATTCAATGTTGAACCATGCTTGGCCAATAATATCTCATACGATTGATTTTGATTTTCATTTTTGGAACACATTGATGTGTACCACACAATCCTACATAAATTTCAGTTATAACTTTTGGTGATTCATCAAGACTCAAACATCGTAATCACATTTGAGCAAATGATCTACGATATAATGTATCATTCACAAAAGCATATCTTAATACTCTCCATGATATTTGTGATGCAATGGATTTATTTTCGGGTAATCTTCCTTCCTTGAAATATATCATAAATGGTTCCCTCCAATTATCTTCCTCGGATATAGCCAGGCTTTCTTTTCCTTCATCATCTTGTACAAAGGCTAGAGCCAATGCATGTATATTTTGAATAGATATGAGGATTGGATCCTCCTGAGGATCTGCTAGTTCTTTAGCTAGCTTTGCCCGCATATCGGCTTTTTCATTTTCAGTGCGTGTAACTCTAGTAATAGTTACTTCGGGAATTTGTTGTAGGAGTTTAAGAGTATACTCATGATATAAGATTAATTTATGCTTGATTTTAAAAGTACCTGTATTTATTTGATTATGAGTTGAGAATCTCCATATATATGGAGTTTTTGGATTTTCATATCAATTGGAAGCTCAAGCCCCGCTATTAAGGCTTCATATTCAGCCTTATTATTAGTACAAGGTTTTGTTAAGCTGTAAGAGAGTATTGGAGTATACCTTTTTGCGGGGTAATGAATATGATACCGATGCCCACCTGAATTATTGAAAGTTTAGGTGGTGTGGTTGGTTTTATTGATGAAGCTCCGTCGAAATATAGCTCCTATTTGTATTCTCTTCTTTCCACTTTAAGTATTTGCTTATATGGCAATTCATCATTAAGTGAAAATCTGCAAGTAAAGGATGGGCTGTTAGAAAATCAGCTAGAGCTTGTTCTTTTACCCTTTTTTTTTGTGGCATATATGATATATCAAATTTCATTGGCAAGACTGCCCACCTAGCTAGACGACTAGTGAGAGTGAGTCTACTCATTAGAAATTTTAATGGATCCACCTTGAATATTAAAGTTATTTTATGAGATAGTATATAATGCCGTAGTTTTTGTGTAACAAAGATTAATGCTAAACATTGCTTTTCAATTGACGAATATTTTGATTATGCTCCTATTAATCATCGGTTGATATAATAAAGGGTATTTTCTATACCATCTTCATTAGGTTGTACTAGCAATGCCCCAAGTGAAGGTGTTTATTCAAAATAGGGGTAGAAAAGAATTGGCAGATATAGAAAATATTATTTTGTGCTATTAAATGCCTCCTGAAAAATATTATCCCATATAAAAGGGGCATTTTTCTTCATTAATCGTGTGAATTATTGACATCTACTTGAAAGGTTAGATATAAACCTTCGAATATATGCCAATTTTCCTTGGATTGAGCAAAATTGTTTTAGAGTTTTTGTATGTGGCATTTCCACTATCGCTTTAATTTTAGCATGGTCAAATTTAATTCCCCTATGGAGAACAATAAACCCAAAAACTTTTCGGATGAAATATCAAAAACACATTTTAGTGTATTCATTTTCAAATTGAATTTTTGAATTCTTTCTAATACAATTCTAAGATCATTTACATACCCTTGAGAACTTTACTTTTTTACAACCAAATCGTCAACATAATATTCAACATGTTCGTGGATTAAATCATCGAAGATTCGAGATATTGCTCTATGATAAGTGGCCCTATCATTTTTCAAGCCAAACGACATCACTTTGTAGCAATATATGCTGATGAGAGTTCGGAATGAGGTGTGTTTTTTATTTTTTTGAATTCCTTTTAATTTGATTATAACCCGATGAGTCATCCATGAATGAGAACATATCATGGTTCGATGTATTGCGTACCATTAAGTTCTGCATTGGGAAATGAAAAGTCATCCTTCGGGCATGGTCTGCTCAAATTCTGATAATCTATGCAAATGCAGATTTGACCGTTTTTTTTTTTTTCTTTATTGAGACAATGTTGGCAATCAAGTCAGCATACTTTTTTTCTTGAATAAAATTGACTCTAATGAGCTTTTTGGTTTCAGCAATGACTTGTTATTCAATTTCAAGTAGCATTCACCTAGGTGCCTGCTTGACAGGCAGCATTTTGACATCGATGGAGAGCTTATGCATTGTCACCTTTAGTGATAATCCAGACATTTCAGTGTAGTCCATATGAAAGTCTTTATATTCGAGAAGTAACATTTTTAGCTCTTCTGCTTTATCATGCGAGAGATTAGCGCTGAAAAATGTAGGTTTGGAATATTCTTCTGTACACAAGTTTATCTCTTTGAGCTCATACCATAGCTTGATCACATTCTTCAAACTCTTCCGGAGCCTCTTTTAGATCACAATTAGAACTTCAGGTTGCTTTTCAAACTCAAGTAGTTCCTCATTTTTGTTTGTAATATTATAGGATGTGGCTCGTGTGAGATATGAATGTCGAGGATATTCAAGTCCTCATGTTGTAGATAGACCCTTGCCAATGGGTCTTTGTGCATGCTCGTTAGTCGTTATGCTAGAGATTTTTGAAATAACAAGCTTGTATGTTTGTTTGCACAAAGAATATATTTATTTCAACGAGCATTTTTATAATGGTACAAGGCATTGAGGAATGACTAGAAACTTTTCATCTTCGGATTCCCACTCCATTTCATGTGAAATGTACTGTAAAATCACTTTTGATTCGTGGAAGGAGATACAATGCTCATAATCTTTCCTTGGGGGAACGTAAAAGGTTTTCAACACTTCTATAAGTGTGTTTGACAAGGCATTTAATATTTAAAAATGTGCCACCGACATGGGTACTATTTTGATGAGGTATGTGGATATTTGATGCTCAGATATCCCTATCATTGAAATTGACACTTTTTTTATTTTTTTATTTTCATTGAAATTGACACTTTCTTTAGCTTTTTAATTATAAAATAGGGCCACATGTCTCCTTCATTCTGCAGTTCCATAGCATCCTTGGGTTGACAAAGAAATTCATTTTATTCCTATTACTCAGTTTACTTGAAGAGTTGAATATCTTCATAATAAAAAGGGATGTTTGATAACTCACTTCTTTTTCCTTGATCAAAAGTTTATATATTTCAGAGATATCATCATCTTCTTCAGAATCACTATCGAGATGAGACACCGAGCTAATTTGCTTTAATTTATTCTTCCATTTATCTTTCAGTTTTTCTTTATCGAGTGTAGTAGCTTGAATTTTAGGAAGAACAACACTCTGCAGCTTTTGCATTATAAAATAATTGGCGTCATCGTAGATTTTCACTTCGTGCATCAGGAACGATTGTTCTTCACCATCAATCTGATGTTCATCACCATCTCAATTGTATTTCATGTATTAATGGAGAGTTGAAGGCATTATACCTTATTTATAGGGTCAAGACCTTCTAAGTAGTACCTTGTAAGATGTGTTAAAATTAATTACATGAAATATTGCCTCTGTGTAGAATTCTCCAAAGCTTAGTGATAAGACCATGGATCCCAGAATTCTTTGCCCTTGTTCATTGAACCCTTGCAGAAATATTGTACTTTTGGTCAAATATTAAACATCCATGGCTAATCCTTTGAGCATTTTGAGACTCATTAGATTAACATAGAAATCCGGATCAATTAAAATTCTATTTATTTCAATATTGTTACTCTCCGCAGTAACATAAAGTGGTCAATTATGATATGCTATTCCCAATAGTAGATCATTATTAAAAAAAGTGATTGTAGCAGTATTTTAAGTGTACAAAACTTCTTTCATACTTTCTTCTACAAAGAATGCTTCGGGTTGTTCTGAATTATGCAAAACTATGATGAGTGTCTCTCAAAGGTTCTTAGACATGATTAGGGCATCGTATATACTTAGCAATGCAGGTAATTTGCAGAGATAGGCCAAGATATTATAATCCACATTTGCATTAGCAGTCTTGGGCTTAGGTAGATTTTGTAGCATAACAGCCTCATTGAGTTGGATGTTTTTTTCTTGATCTTTTGCTTACCTTGGTGTGGAGAAAGAACTTGCTTTTGATAGCTTCTTTCTACCCAATCTTTGAATATGAAGCAATCTTCAATTCAGTGACTTACAATCATTTAATGTGGACAATAATTTTGATCATCAGCCATGCCAGCTTGTTCAGGCCGATGAGACTCCGGTAATTGACGATCGACCTTGAGTGCATGTCTAAAAATCTTTCCCGTACATTCTTTCTTAAAAGAGTACGGCTTGATTATTTTTTTCTTGCAAAACAAGGGCCTTTCGCCTTTCTTTCATTTGCCTTATCATTTTCGGTGGATTTATTGATTCCCCTTTTTCTTTCTTGTCAGAGGAAGACGAGAATGTGGTATTCATCTCGTTCCTTTTTCAGATCAAATGTTTTGACCTATTTTCCTTTCCTTAGTGGATTATTATTATAATTAAAGCCAACACTTCTAGGCCTGAGCAATCTTTCGAATTTGGCTACATGATCCAACAACACCTATAAAGTATTGATTGTAGTTATAGCCAAATATGGAGCCATACAATCATCTATATACCCCATTAGGAGCTCTACAACATATTTTTCAATGAACTGTTGCTCACATATCATACCGAGGTTTCTCCATCTAATAATGTACATATTTTTCTCTTCTCAAGAGCAAGTTCAGCAAAAGTCACCTTCTTCATTGCACAAGAAAATCGTTTGACAAACATTATTTTTAACTCGTCGAATGTTTTAACTGAGTCATTTGGTAACTCAACGTACCATTCAAAAGTTTTGCAGATAAGATTGCTAACGAACTGGTATAACAGTAAAGCATCATTACCTCCAGTGTTGTTGCAAGTAGCCTTAAATTGTGTTAGATGTTAACATGAATTTTCATTACCATAAAATGTATTAAATTTCGGCACTACGTATCCCTTTAAATACATCACTTGGTCGTATTCGGCCAAATACGAATGACCTTTACCTACTATGGACTCAGACATTTTAGAAGCAATAATTGTTTTGAGTTTTTGGCTAATGAGATCTTTGATATGGGTCTTACTAGTGGTGTCAAATCGTGTCCACAGGTCGATTTGGGTCTAACCCGACTTTGACCAGATAGTTTTTTATTGCCTCAAACCCGACACAATTTAGGATTCAGGTCACTTTTCCCAACCCGAACCTAACCCGATTCGGGTTTGAGTCAACTCGACCCGACCCGCAAGCAGTTGAGTAATGAAATTTGCAAAATTAAATTCACAAGTATAATAAATTGTAACAACAATTACACCATATATTGGCATTTGGCAACGTAAATTACATTAAAAACTTACAAGTGTTGTATAATGATACATTGATACATTACAATTTTGATATTTTTACATAATACATTATAATTTAAAATTTACAAATAAACTCAAATAGCCAAATATTCAAATTAAATACTTAACAACCTACAAATTATAATCTAAAATATCAAATTACATGTCCAACAGTCCAACTCATTTAGCAAAAAGCTCAAGATATCATAAACCCTCATACTCTTCAAGTTGTATTAACTACAAAAGGAAGATGATTAAAGGTGTAGGACTAGGTATGAATTAAATGAATGTGATAAGAATTTGCACGTTTTGAATAAGAGCAATAAGAATTAAAACGTTAGTCACTTAACGATAATTGAAAACAAAAGAGATGTGAATCCGCTTAGGCTAAATCACACGCTAAAAGTTAAGATCACCAAAACAATTAGAATTTCAACATATGCAAATTTAGAGGATTTTCCATAGCCATCCCTAGGCTAACAATGAGTTTAGATGCATAGAAAATCAAAACTCATGCCCTACGTTTACTAAGCATTATCAGATAGCTTTGCACAATTCCTTGTGCTTGATTCACAACCTACAAGGGAAAGAAGATTTGGGAGAACATTGAAGAGGGAAAGTTCACCCTCATCGTGGCACGGTGGTGATTTGCCACTGAACGGTGGAAAGCTGCTCTTCGATGGCTTCGGACAAGGTGAAGATAATACGCTCCAAGTACTCCTCGGCGGAATTGCCTACTTCCGGATTGACATCGAAGAAAGGCGACCAGAGGATGTCGATGAAGCCTTGTTCGTTGTAGACGAAGCCGGAGTCAAGATCAGGATCGACCATGCATTGATTTCGTAGTATTGAAGTGTTGTAGAAGATGTCCTTTGCTATACTTAAGGATTCCCTTTGGGAGAAAGAAATTTCTCTCTAGAATCCAAGAGGAATAAAGGGTGGTCGGCCAAAGGAGGGGGCTTGAATTCTTTCCCAAAGAGAATTAAGAAATTATTTCCCTAGTTAATCCTTTAATTAGGAAAGAATTTAATGGTGATTTGGGCAGAGGGAGGGTCAAGTAAGAGAGAGGGAGGGGCTTTGAATTCTTCCCCAAAGAGAGAGGCTTGAAGTTTGGAAAGTACTCTAGTGCGGCGTGGAGGTCAGCGGCATAGGAGAGGGTTAGAGGGAAATAAGCAAGGGTTTTATTACTTTCTTAAATGGGATTCTCAAATTAAGGAATAGGATTTAATTCCAATCTAATTCAAATTTGATTTCATGATGTTTTAAGATACTAGGTCAAGGAAAGTAGGGGTGTCAATTCGGGTCAATAGGTCAGATTTGGATCGAACCCAACTTGACCCGATCGTAAACGGGTTTAGCTAAACGGGTCCGAGTTCTGAAGCCGAACCCGACTGGGGCTAAACCCGACCCAGGTCAACCAAACCCGCCAGTTTTTTTTCTTTCCTGAAATAAATTTTTAGTTTTTAAAAGCAAATTGCAAATACTTACTACTCAAATCAAATATTGAAAATAATAAACAATTAACAATCAAATTGTAATAAAACAGTAAACAATAAAATTTAAATTTTATTAATAATTTATATTTTACAATATGAAAATTTGGAAATTCTAGAATACTCAAATACATTACAATTTTTTTTTTCCTTTTCTAAAATTGTTACAACTTACAGGTTACAAAAATATAATACAAATACAACTTAGCAACTATACAATTATACAGCTACTTTGTTTAATTATTGTCTTTTACTCCTTCAGCCTATGCATAATTATCCCCTACTAACCAATGAAGAACCTGCAGCAAGTTCACACTAACATACACTATCAGAGCAGCAAGTTCACAACAAAACTGTCAAAATCATAACAATAACAGCACTTAACAACAGCAAGCCCTAATCTCAACAGCAACACTACACTTAACGTCTACACTCCAACTGTGTAACATAGTGCATTATGATGTATAAATTAATAATAATAACAACAAGCCCTATTCCAACTGTGCAACATAGCAGCAAGAAGCTCAATCATTATAAGCATAACAACATCAACATTTCATCAATTCAACCTCAGTTCCTGATCTCAAGTTGACAACAAAACCTTAATCAACATTTCAACCCCAGCTCAGTCATTATAAGCAAACCCTTATCCTCCATTTACAGATTTCAGAAATCGGAAACACCGAAAACACCATCAGCTGACAGTCCGAAATCCTAATTTCAGAAAATCCTAATCTACAATAACCATAATTTCAAACATTAAACCTTTAAACTCCATATTTCAAAAATCCTAATATACAATAACCCTAATCTCCAAAAGCCATTCATATTCAACTTTGCTTTCAAATGGCAAAATCCAAATGGCCAAAGTAGGGCAAAACGAAAGAACACATCTTCCATCAAAAATCTAAAATAGAAATCGGAAAAACGGTCACAACGCCGGAGGAATCACGATTAACGAGAGCCGAGAAGTCGAGAGAAGAAGATATCAACTATCAAGAGAGCTCCATTGGCCACTGCCAGTGCTCCTGAAGGTTTCGTCGCCGGCCACGGGAACTGCCGCATCTCTCGGTGCTGCGCGCGAGATCACCTCGCTCGCTCTACTGTGCTCTGTGTGCCTCCTCTCTGCCCTAGTCCGGTATAGGAATCTAAGGTACTGTTTGGATGCAGGATTTAAGCCGGATTTAGACAATATTTGAGCTAAATCCTGCCAACCGCCAAAAAACGCAAAGTTAAATCTCACGGTAAGTAACTTCACGGCATTTTCAGCATTTTTGCCCTAAATCCCGGATTTCGTAAATCTGACATTTTGGCGGATTTATCCAAAGAAGCGCGCGAAAGGGGACAAATATCGTTACCTTCGCGGCGAGCTCCCGTCGCGACTTCCAATCCGACAGCAACAACGTCGGAGGAGGAGGCGGCGGCGGAGAAGCTTCACGCGAAGCAGGACAGCAATGTCATAGGAGGCGGAGAAGCTCAAAAGTGTCAACTCTACTTCACGCAACACAAACAGCAACGTCGTCGGAGGCGGAGATGCTCGAAGCGACGCTTTCAGAACTTCACCCTACAGCAAAAAAAATTTTTTTTTCACACAAATCACATACAAGACTCGAACCAGACCAAGGCGATCTGCGTACCCGACAGCAATAAATAAATGGGGAAGAGGAAAAGCGGCGGAGATGAAATATTAAAATAAATTCCCCAAAAAAAAAAATATTAAAATAATTAATTAGATTATTTAAAATATAAATAATTAATTAAATAATTAGATGTAAATATTAATTAAATAATTAATTAGTAATATAATATTTTATAAATTAATTAGATAATTATGTGTATAATTAATAATTAAAACTCGTTAAAATAATACTTTAATTTTTTAATGAAATAAATAGTAGTGTAAATAGTATTTAAATGATTAATTATTTTAGATAATAATTAAATGAAACTCCAAATCCGCCCAAATACATTGGTCTAGCTGGTGATGGACAGTGGATGATCCTCGACGTTGATCTGCAACCTTTGGCTCTTAAAATACCCAAAATTAAGTCCAATTTAGGATCTTTTTTTCTTATCTATTCTCTTCTGCCCAATAGCTGCTCTTGCTCGGTTGAGTAAACTTGGCATGTGAGTAGCATCTCTCGCATATCTCCATCCTTTCCCAAGCCGTAATTGCCATCGACGCCAAGCCGCTTGTGCTACTGCTAACTCCGTGCGAAGCTAGAGGCCAAGTGACGTCTCAGAGCTTCTTCCATACCGATCGATCCTTGTTTGAGATGACCTAAGAAGGAAGAATTGCTTCGTGATGGAAGTCTCGTAGTTGAGGATCCAACGTTGCTGGAAGTAATCTTCTCGAAATCCGTCCATCGGAATCATGGTAAAAACGTTAACCCTAGTCTTAGAACACTTTCAGTCATATAGCTTTTGTGTAAAGGCGCGTTTTAGAACTCATAATATCTATTCCCTAATGAATCTCTTCATTCACTAGATACTTTAGTGTTATAATAAATTTCGATCGATTATGGTTTCAGCCAATCGAGAGAAAAATCAAAATAACACCTTGAAAGGGTTGGCTTAGCCCTAGATTCCTGAACTAGATTGTTGATTGAACCGTTGATCATTTTTGCTATCAAGTCAATAAATATTGAGTCATGCTCCGCCGATTTCAGCAACTTTTACCTTGCTCTGCTTGAGTTATGCCATTTTTCTGCGCGGATCAGAGGGGTTCGTCCAACCATGTCAAGGCCGTTGATCTGGCGCGGCGCGTGATCGGACGGCAATGCGCGGTATTGGTGTCCGCCGGGCTATAGTGCGCCTACTCACTTTACTGCCGCCGCTGCCTCCGATTTAGCCGCGTGAAGTCTCATCTCGCGTAGACAGCCTGTCTCCGCCGCTTTAATTCATTCTAGCCTGATGATTGCGGCTGACAGCGCTAATCATTAGGCGTTATGATATTGCTGTTGACCGCGGACTTTGTTAAGTATTCCGTGTATGATCGCACGTGTTCCGCCGCCATTATGTTTATATAATAAATTACTTTTAAAAGCTATTTTAACTTTAAACAAAGTATACTAAAATTTTTCAATTATGTTCGTTTCCTGATTTTGGCGTACAATACCTTCTGTTTTGCTCGTTATTTTCATCTCTTACATTAGAAAAAAATTTTATAAAATATGTTTATATTTTGATTATTTATTATGTTAAAACAGTAAAATAGCTTATTTTTTATTTTATTTAAATTATTATTTTATATATATTATTATTATATTGTTATTTAAGTAGTTATTATATATAATTACATGTTCAGTATAGTTTGGTTATTATCTTTACTGTTAAGTTTATTTTATATCTATTTCCTATTATTATATTAATTATTTTTGAGATTATTTTTATTATATTTTACTTATTTTCTTATTTGTTATGTTTTTGAATAATTTGTTTATGAATGATCTTTATTACTTAATCACCAAAATTCGTATCGTTCTCGTTTTCCGCTCCGTTTTAACGAGCACAAGTACTTGATGTTGCACGTATTTAGGATTTTCTGCACATTCTGGAGTTTGGTTTTAACCTTGAAAATTTTGTGGGTCTGTATGCAGTTGAATTTACAGCAGCCAGCTGTACTTTTTTAAATTATTTGACTTCATTGACTCGAAATTCTAAATCTTTCGTAATTATTTGCCTAGACCTATTGTTAGGTTTTATCAATTTGAATGCACAGCTTGTTAGAGTGTGATCTAAATTCTGTACGTGTGAAACTCTTTGAGTGATTGTTTTAGTTTTCGTTGACTCCAAAACATTGATGAACAACATACTATTTGAAAAACATTAATTTTTTATTTAAATCTTCGAATTAGTATCTTTGCCTGTTTTAAGTCGAAATTTTGAGCGTATAAGCCCCTTGCAAGACCCCTCTTTTTCAGAAAAGTTATGATTTAATGTTTTGGAAATCCACTTCCAGCCCTGGTTTTGGCGTTGTTTTGAACAGGATTTTACACTATTGATTCGTATTTATTCGTAAGTATTTGTTTTATATTAATATTAATTTGTATGATTATTTTCATGATACAAAATTAATTTTTAATCGTTCTTTAGATTCTTGAGAAGTTCAAGTGATGTTCTCCCTATAATATTATTGTATTTGAATTGAACTTATTTTTAATTACTTTATTTCTAAAAGGTTTGTTATACTTATATTTTATAAGTTATTTTGAAACTATTTTAAAACTACTTTTTATACAGTAAATCCTATATTTTGGGGGAGACTCGCTACTTCGTGAAATTTTAGATCATGGTTCTAGATATGAAGAGCATTCATGGGGATGGGGTTATGAATGGTTGTTAGTCCCAATCATTACTAATCCGTTCTTTAGTTGTCTGTCTTTTTATTTTTCGTAGATTGCATGTGTAGGTACGCACCACGTAGCACTTTAGTTTAGGCTCTCCTAGATCTTAGACATTGGGTGTTATTTCTTTTTTGTACTCTCTGCATTTATTACCTTAAAGGCGTTAGACAAATCATCACTTTCCAACACTCAATCTTACAATCTGAGTGACACCCGAATGGTACAATAATGTAATTGATTCTCGTCTATGCGAATTTAGAAGTTTCTAGGACTGATGTATAGAACACGCCCCAGAACTGACTGAAATCTACAACACTTAAACTTAGGACATCTAATATATCATCTGAATTTGTAGGATATTTTATAGTAGCTTTATAGGCCCTTAGCTATAGGCCAACCTGTATAATTAATTGTTGCCTGCTAAATTAACCCCGGAGACCTTTCAGAAATCAATATCAATATAATATCCATTCTTATGGTCATAAAATTACCAATAAGACCCTAAAATGCAGATCTGATCCTTGATCCTTAAGATAAACACGGGCTCCCTAAGTTTGACCTCTAGGTTTGACCAGTTAATTTGACCATTAGGTGGAAATTTATCATTTTGCCTTTGCCCCTAAATAAATCATTAACATATATATTTACAAATCCAAACCTTCTTCCAAACACTTTGAACATTTGTCTGGTCATTCCTTGACCTTTGGAGGTGATTCAAATTAGTTTGTGAGCTCATTGGATCTAAAAACAGTAAAATAAGGCCTCCTGTCCTATTGTTAATTTTAGAAAATTCCCTTAATTACCATTTTAGAAAACTCATAACTAATTTGTAGATAATTCCAATATTATTGGTGTTAAATCTCACTTTTTGTATTAGACTTCCAAGTGTTGCTATATTTATTATAAATATTTTTAGTTCCAGATAATTGGCTCTAAATTAGAAAGTCAACTTTTTGTGTGCAACCTTAGTCTATAGGATATAGGTCCGAACTTAGAAATGATCCAACTGTTTGCTCTTAAAAACTCCTGATTTTAGTGTTTATTCTACTTTTCAATTCTTTGTTTTGTTTTGTTTTTTTTTACTTACTTCGTATAAGTTTGTTTATGTTTTTCCTAAGGTGAATTATGTAGACCCTAGATACTTTTATGTCCCGTTTGTTCTAGCGACTTTTTGGCACCCTTAGCTGTAGATTCCTAAGATGACCTAGATATTTTAAAATTGGCTAATTATACTTTTTTGACTTAAATATGATATCCTAACTCTTAAAACTGATCACAAACTGAAATAATTAAAATAGACCATAATTCCTAATTTTTGAAGTTCAACTAAAATATCCTTTTCAAAAAGACTCACCAAACAACATGAACTATAGCTAACTTTAACTACGCACCCCGACTTTAAGACCTATCAAAACCACACTGGGGCTTGTTTCACATAGCTTGTTTGCTAGGGACCACTGTCAGATTAGGTTAGGCCGCTGAGTTTTTATTTTTCTGTGCTGTGTGCCGGAGCTTTCCTGTGGTTTCATTGCATGCTGTTTGAAATTGTTGGTGTGTTTTGCTTACTTTTTCTAATAATCTGTGCGTGATGAGCGCTAGATTTACCCCTAGGTTAGAGCGTCAATATATTATACTGTTCTTACAGTGTAGGTGGCCAATGCTCAGCTAATAAAAGGGGGGGCACCATTATATTTTTCTAATATCTATCATTAATGAAGGTGACTTGCTCAGCCCCCCTAAAAAATGAGGGTAATTAATATTATAATTGCACAGGTGGAGCTGCTTAAGCCCCAAAATTTAAAGAGCATGGCTGGCAGCAGGGTCAATGGTGTTAGCATTCTATATTTTAATATACTGCTTGGAATGATATATTAGGATAACCATTGCAGGTCCCTTTTAGAATTTCTCTGCTTTTCACTAATGTATAATTATGTTATATTGTTAAGAGTTGTGAAAATTACTTTGAGTTGGGATTCTTCTTATCCGAACTCGGGTTCCAAAAGAAGAAGCATCCCTAAAGGGGAGAGTCTTCTTCCATTTGGAAAGATCGAGTTGGATGGCTTTAGATATCCAAAGAGAAAAGGCAATGACTCCTATCAAGGGGAAATTATCTCTTCGTTTGGATATTAAAAGCCACGACGGGATCAAGGAGTCCAAGGAGGAGAGTTCCAAAGGAGTCCAAGGAGAAGACATCCAGAAACTAAAGATTGAAGACCAATATCCCACTCAGTTGTTGGCGTCTGTCATAGGGTTAGAATCCGGGTTGTTGGCAGTGGTGCCGCCGACACTTTACTTTTTCTG